TTTTTCAATTTCACTAAAAAAAAATCAAATACGAAAGGTACTCCATACATCCAACAATTTAGTGAGTGTTTTTGTACTAATAAGTCAGTTGATGACGTATTTCTCTATGCTTATCATCTGATTTATAAGTCAAAAAAATAAGTAGATCTTACATACTTATTTTTAATTCAGTTGTTTCATTTCTCTGTTTTAACTAAATTATTTACAAAATTATCTCTCTCTAATTTTAAATATCCTCAAATGACTTATATATCTTCTAAGTCATTTTATCTATACAAAAAAAAATATTAAACTAATAAGCACCTTATAAATTATAAACTACATCTCAATAATAAATTAATAAGCATCCTCAGAGAGAAACACTCCATCTCTTTTTACTATTTTTATCGGACTATGCTTGTAATTTGATTATAAATTGAAGTTTACGAGGAAATATTTCTCACTTTTTGAAATTATTTTATTTACAAATCGATATATCAATAAAAAATAAAAATTACATACTAAAAAAATACATCAAAAGTTCTACAAAATAAGAGGTGACAAAAATATTTTCTTTTATCAAACACTTAATCAAATCGTGTAAATAAACAAAAGTTATCGAGAGAAGAAAAAAATTGTAATAAAAATGGGGATGGAAGAAGTATTTGATTATGTATGGCTCACAATTTTTCTTATTTTATATTATGGCTCACATTGACTACACAATGATTAATAAACTACGTAATTGGTACTAATTTACAAAAGAGAAAAAATAATATGGGCCACACGGTTCAATCCTTCAAATGAAAATAAAAAAAATAAGACTAGACAACTATACGTATTAGCAAAAAAGGAATAAACTAGAAGTAAAACATGAAGAAAATATTAAAATAGGAGTACAATGCCAATAATATAAATATATAATTTAAAAAAACCTATGAAATGTCACTATGCAGTGTTATAATAATGTTATAGTACAAACTCCTTTTTTAACGACAAAAACATAGAACTCTTATTTAGAGGATAAATGTTATGTTTTATTAATATTTGGGATGGTCGTTTTAATATTAAGGGCCTACTGTCAAATAAATAAATATTAAGGTCGTATTCTTTCCAGTTAGAATTCTAAAAATGGATGTTAGAAGAAGCTGGAAAGAGTTAAAAAAATGGTAAAGAGTTGAAAAATATTAGAAAAGTTAAAATGTTAAAAAAATCAATCATTATCACCCAAATAAATATGTAAAAAAACTAATATTGGATAAAAAATATTTCATCATTTTTGTATGCATTTGAGGTGATATGTTATAAATTTGAATGATGCTTATATACATGGTCCCAATGTCCACATTTAAAATGTAAAACTTCTCACATTTTTAATGGATTTACATGTGGATATTTTCTTTTTTGAAAAGGATCACTTTTTTTATACTACAAATGCACTAAGATTTATATAATGAACCTGGAACTTAGGTCCACGGGAGAACTTGCCTATAATTTTAGATAAACTGTAAGGAGTTGCAAAAAGCTAGGAGTTAAAAAAATTGCAATGAGTTAAAAAATGGAAATTAATTTTTTTAATCCAAAAGAATAGAATGTAAGTGAGAAAAACATTTTAGAACGAAAGTAATCAATGCAAACCACATTACCGGTTTAATAATCTTATTGCTCAAAAAAGCTCATTTCATTTAAATTTATCATGTTTGTATTCTTCTACATAGAGTACTTAGTTACCAAATTAAAAACTAATTTGAAATTAAGCAAAAATAGAACTTGGGAAAAAGATTTGGAAAAAACTCAAAAAAGCTTAAAAGTGAAATTTGCACTGAATAAGACTAAAACATAAGTCATTTTCTAATGTAGGACTTAAACTTTTTTATTCCCTAAATAGGTCTTAATAATGACTTGTAAGAAGAATAATATCCAAGTGATGCTGGATATTTAGTTGAATAATGACTAATAGATTATGACCAATGGTCCTACATTAGAAAATAAAAACATATGGTCCTTTATTAAGAAAATAATTATGTTTTTGTCCTATTTAGGTAAATTACCCATAAAAAAACTAGGAAGAATTGAAAAACTAGAAAAAAACTAGCCATTATGTTTTTGTCCTATAGATTTTATTTTATAATTGGCTCCTAAGCTTTTACTTCATTCTCCCTAAAAACATATACGGAGTATATTCTTTTTTCGTTCCAAATAAATATTTCATTTGTCTCATATCTTTCTTTTTATTCGACGTTTCTTAATTCCAAAATAACATTTTGAACTATAATATCTCTATTTATACATAAATATATATTACTCTGTATTTAACTAAAATTTATATTGGGGACAAATGGATTATTTAAAGAATGTCTGACATTCATTAATTGTATAGCTACAAAGATTAATAATAATAATAATTAATAATAACAATAATAAGATGAAAAAGTATTTTTAAATAAAATTTTTTATTCATTGTTGGGAGAAATTGAAAAAAATTTGAAAGGAGTTAAAAGAATCTGGAACGTTTTTGAAAACTTGGAAGTAAAGAATTACGGAGTTGAACCCAAAAGAAAAAGGAGCCTTACTTGTTGAGCATTAGAGCACCGGAAATACACACAATGCTGGACTCTGTTGTGGGATATTTAACGCCTACCCGGCGTTAAACACCGCCCCCCTTTACTGTTAAAGGGGCATCACCCCTGCTGCGTGAAACGTTTAACGCGGAGAAAAGAAGAGGGAGAGAGCCGTTGAGGCCCAAATGGCTATAATGCCGTTTGGCAATATTTTAAAAAAGATTATTTTCAATACTATAAATACCTTTTCTTTTTAACACAGCAAACAGACACAACCTATTCTCATTTTCTCCATATTTCCTCCAAAATATATTTAATTTTTTAAATTCTCTCTACAAAGTTTCAAAAAATGGGATCATCATCATCTGACAATGAAAAGAGAGCTCTTATTTTTCGTAGTTTCACGACGGGTTGTTGGCAACAAGCCCAACGAGAGGAAGCGGAATCCTCCCGACGCTGATGCCTGACCCGACGTGAACGTTGAAACCGTGATCGGGCAACTACACACACTTCATTTTTCAACGACTACTTTAATACTCTGTGTGTTTACACACTGGAGGATTTTAGTAATTGCTTTGGGATGAATCGTTCTCTTTTTTTTTAAGCATGCTCGTCGATATTGAACGCGAGGTGCCTTGGTTCACCCAACACTTTGATGCAAGAGGCTAGCGCGGTTTTAGCAGCGTCCAGAAGTACACCGTCGCGCTTTGTTAGATGGCATACGGGATGTCACTGATTTGTTTGACAAACACTTGAAGATGTCAGCTCGGAGCATCAGGTCATGTGTTTATAAATTTTCTAAAGATATTATTCGACTTTGTCATAAAACGTATTTATGTAGGCCGACAGCGAGCAACATTGAGCAGTTACATGCTAGGCATGCCGCTAAACACGGCTTTGTCTGCATGCTTGGGAAAAATTGTTGGTTCTCCTGGGTTGATCATCCCAAGCTTACTATCATGCTCGAAGTTGTGGCTTCTAATGACTTGACATGCTTTTTTTTGGTGTTGCGGGCTCGAACAATGACATCAATGTCTTTTGAGCTTAGAGGGATGATTTACAAGCATGTATATTATCTTACGGATGGAACATATCCAGATTATTTCACGATTGTCAAGTCAATCTCTGAACCAATGAGTCTTAAATGCCAGACTTACAAAAAAGCTCATGACGCGACGAGAAAAAATATTGAGCGAGCCTTTGGGGTGTTGAAGGACAAGTGAGGCACATTTTAGATCGTCCATCCAAGTGTTATTCTCAAACGAAAATGAGGAATACCATGTACACATGTATTATTCTTCATAATATGATCATAGAGGACAACGAGTTTTCAATATGTCATTACAACCCAGACGAGGAGGTGCTTACGTACCAAGAAATCAATGAATGAAAAGAAACGATGAAACCGCCAAGAAATCCAAAGCCGAGAGATTCACAATGCACTAACAGCGAATTTGATTGAAGATATTTTCAGTCAATCGAATAATCTGTAATTTCTTCGTAATGTAATGTAACTTTTATTTTTTTATTTTTTGTTGTTATTATTCAAATCTTATTTTACGAATGTACTTTTTATTGAATGTATTTTTTAATGAATTATTGTCCTTTAAATTTAATTAAATAAAAAATATTATAAATTTAGTTTTAGAAGATGTGTATTTAAAAATGTAAAAAATAGAGATTTAAAAACCGGGACTTCAAACCCATTTCGAGTGAAATTTTGGTGTATGTTCAAACCGATTTGGCAAAAAGAGAAGGTTTGAAGCACCGGGAATTCATATATATTACCAATCCTCTTAGAGTTTTGCCGCCCTGGTTCATAATCATTATTTTTCTCATAGTTTCACTTTTTTTAATAATCGTGCGTTATTATGTAACAGGCGGAGTATGTGATAAATTTCATTTTTGCCCTAATTTTTTTCTTTTTCAAAACAATTGATTATATGTTGCACTCTCTGTCCCACTATTTCCGGGACATATGTGACAAATAACAAAATTGTATAGTTATATTGTTATTTAACCACAAGATAAAGTAACAATGAATGTAAATCACATAAATATGCCCAAATGTGATACTTTGTATCAGAAAAGGGACAAAAATAATGGGATTGAGGGTGTACCATTTTTTTTCAAAATTATCAAGAATAAAACTAAGGTGCCACTACATGGGTGCTACCATGCGTGCCCCCATGCTTTACACAGACACTCAAACGATTATCATTCATCTGTGACACATATGATTATCGTATGTGTGTGTCTGTGTAAAACATGGGGCACCCATGGTAGCACCCATATGGTGGAACCCTAGCATGACCCAATTTTCAAGAGTGCCTAGCAAGGGTTTTCCCAAAAGAGTTATGTTAGGATCACACCATGTTTGACAATTACAGACATATATACAGAGACGGTCAGGCTGTGCATCTTTGTGAAAATGTGACATGCTGGTTTTTTTTTTGGGTACCCAAAAACAAGTCTTGCCCTTGCCCTCCTCACCTAAAATCCTGAATATGCAACTGGATAGAGTTGGTGGACTATGGAAGTATTTTCTCTAAACCCAATAATCACCAATATCAATTATGCAAAAGCTATGAGTTATGCCCTCTTCCGGCCCCAAATTATAAGGGGCACTGTTGTACTTATGAATGGGTTCCCTATGGAGTATTTACCCTTTTAAGTGAAATGTCTGTATCTTCACAAACAACAAAGTAAATAAGGAATATAAGCCATTACCACAATTGTTTTGATCCCCTACGTTGCTCTCTATAAAAGTCCGGTAATTGCAGCGCCGAGCAGCTACACAGTACACACAAGCTCATGGGTTCGCACTAGTCACAAATGCCAAGGGAAGACTCCAGACGGATGAAGAGTTCCGAAGATCAGGTCAATGAAGTACTACTGCCTGTCATGAAAAAGAACTGCTTGAGAGTTTTATAAAAATATAAACAAGCAACGTTAAAGGGAAGAAATTCTTCGTTTACTTTTGTAATAAACTGAAGTCACTAGATGTTAAAAGTTAAAACAAATGAAAACGAGTTTTCCACGGTTCTTGTGTATGCAAAAAATATGGTTATACTTGCGGAATGCGCTTTAAGAATCTGATCTGGCCACTGTGAATGATGAGAGAAGCCCTGCAGCCTGTGCAGGCAATATGTCCCCAAATCTGCCTTGTCCATCGGTTAAAATTGATCCCAACCTTAATGTGCTCTCTCCAAATCTGCTGCCAACCTGAAACTCAAGGGCCGAAAATGAGTTTCATACTTTCATGCAAGAGAAGAGAAATTAAACTATCTTCTACTGCTTATCAGCTTTTACTCTTCCGCATAATTATTACAATGTGACCAGGTCACCTAGATAGCACGGACATCTCTAAAATTTCACCGTACCAGACTAGCAGTGCCGCCGGACGCAACAACAACAAACTCAATAAAGTCCCACAGAAGAAGGGTTGGGAAATAAAGAGGTTGTTTTCAAGAGACCCCAAGGCTGAGAGACACGAACCACTGAGTACGGAAAAAGACAATAGAAGGAAGCAAACAGACTAAGAAATAGAGAGCGCACAAGCACACGGTAAAGGCTAAGCGATAAAACTCAATGGCATAAACTACAAACTAAGGCCTACAGATCTACAAAACTGCTCAAATACTAGATCTCCAGACATTCTAATCTAAAATCATAGTCTTGGTAAGATCCAGAAGTCATAGGTCCCGACTAATCACCTCCTTCCAACTTTTTCTAAGTCTACCTCTACCCCTCGCACCTTTACTGCAATCCTCTCACATCTCTTGATGGGAGCCTCATCACTTATCATTACATGCCCAACCACATCGGTCTAGTTTATTGCAACTTATCCTCCACAGGTACCACATCCACCCTACAATGAGGAACCTCTTTTCACATCTTTTCTTCACCACCCAACACTCTACTCTATAAAACATAACTGGTTTGACCACTGTCCAATACGACTTCCCTTTCACGTGAGACGTTATCTTCTTGCCGCAAAGGACACCTGAAGCCAGCCTCCACTTTGGCTAAGCAACTCCAATACGGGGAACAACATCCCCATCAAGTTCCTCATCTGCATGGATCACCAAACCAAGGCATCAAAATGTGTCTCTCTTTTAGGCACTGAGTGTGAATCAATCTTTACTTCCACACCCAACTCCAACACTCGCCCATTGGAGCAGCATTCCACATTTCCACGTACTTAGTCTAAGTCCATCACCAATGAAAAAAAAAGAAGGACCAAGGGCTTGTTCTCTTCAACTTATCTAATTGGATCTAATCTGATTCGATGAAGTTCGGATCTGATCTGATTGTAGTTATGTTTAAAGCTATATTTTTATCTGATTCCAATAATAATAAACAATAAGTAATAAGAATAACTTGAAGAGAACAAACTCTAAGAGCAGACACCTCGTGTAACTCCATCTCCACCGGGAAGGGATCAGAGTCACCCTTAACACCCTTCACCTCGGTCCTCGTTCCGAGGTACATGTCTTTCCCCGCACAAATATGCGCAACTAGAATCCCTCTAAACTCTAGGCACCTCCATAATAAGATCTTCCTTGAAATTCTATGATATGCCTTCTCTAAATAAATAAACACTCGTCGGACACATGTCCAAGAATTTGAATATGCATCCTCATTCCTACATTCTCAACGGTGTCCTGAATCAAACCTTAAAATAATTTGAAAAAGAAGTCGAATATCTAAGAAATAGAGATCCCACTAATTCATTTCTCGTGATGAACCACTTGATCTGCTATTTTAAAATTTTGATATCTTTGACTTTTCGACAACCGTTTGTCCATTCTAATTGTTATTACAATCACAAGACAATCTCATCATCGTCATTTCACCCTTCAAATCATTATGATCTTGAAAACAAACTAAATATTCTACTCCTTTTCCCTTTGCTATGACACTTTTGTCCTACTTTCGCTACACTTAAAACAATGAACTTTATTAAGTGTTTATGTTTACAAAGAGATTTAGAAACTTGGGAATTCAAATATTGGAATGTTTTATCCATTGCTAGAGATTGTACTTTAAAACAAAAATGCTTTGGATCCATAAATGTCATGCTTTGGAGTCATAACGGGGGTAAGTGTGGAAACACTATTTATCCTCGTGACACCAGTTCAATCAGAGCACCCTGGGTGCTCTGATCGTAAAATTGATGGTTCCTACCCCTCCTAACCCCCCCCCCCTTAGGAACTACCCCTCCTAACCCCCCCTTAGGAATTTCAGCCCGACCCCCTAACCCAGCACCTCCCCTTAGTGGGTCGGGCTGAACTGGTGTGAGATTACAAGCTCTCTCTCTCTCTCTCTCTCTCTATATATATATATATATATATATATATATATATACACACACACACACATATACATATACTCCATTTTACACGCACGCACACTCCACATGTCCCGTGTCTTAAATTTTGTAAATCTTGAAATGTGTCGCCGTGTCCATGTCTGTGCGTCCTAGGTGACCATGTTTTTTCAATTAAAATCTGGTCTCATCCATCCACTTTTAAGCAATGAAGTTTTGAAGGGTCACATTTATTCTCATTTTTCTATCTAAGAAACCACTCTCGCAGGATCTTTCGCACTATGTGAAAAGTGTAAGAAGTGAAATGAGCAGGAAAGAAGATATTAGGACAGAATTGGAATGGCTTAAACTAGGGCACCTCCATTGGTCTGGCAATGTTGATGCAGTCTTTAGAATTGTTGCTCAAAAACCATTTAGTTTATTGTAATCATTAGATATTTCTTTACATTGTGGTGCTACTATTTTGTTCATGCCATTTTGTGTCCTAACCACTAACTTCAGGTCTTGCATGTCAGTGTTTATTCCACTTAATCAGATCCTAAGCTGGTGCTATTCTTACACATCTTAAGGCTGTGATATACTGACATCATAGGATTGCAGATAGTACTAGCGATTATTTGAGACTAAGTGACACTGTCTTTGACTCATTTCAATTGAAATTTACTTATTTACCCATGCAAGACAAATTGGAAACACAATTCTCCATGCATTGGATGGAGATGCTGGGACCTACAAAATGAAAACCATACCTGCATAAAAGACTTTAAAAGTGGTGCAGCCATTCCCAGCCCTGAATTTTCATCTCCATCTACTTTTTGAGATAGCTCATCATTTGAGTAACTTTTCCAGGAACTTCTAGGCGAAACATGATCCAGTGATGTTGATATACGAGGCTTGCTTGTTGCCTTTGAAGAGAGGGCTGGAGCACTGTGAAACCAACATAAATGTACAATTTCAGTCTCAGCATTTGTGCATGGTAGCAAATCTGCTAGGTAGACTGAAACTATGACAGTAAGAATAGTAAACTGTGCTATCTGAAAACATGATTAGAACTTAGAAGATATCATCATAGAAGAAATCACAGCTCAACATGTGAGAAGTGTGTTTGCGCGCAAGTGTGTGGGCGTGCGTGTGTGTGTGGTGGGGGGGGGGGGTAAATGGACCTAAATTGGATTGATAACAATATCAACCTGATAGGGAGATACTTAAATCGTGGCACCACAGAACAACGCATAATATTTGATTCAGAATTAGTTGATAGTTTTTGTACAGTGTCAGTGTACATCCGATTAAGTTGCACAAAAAACCCAAAGAGGACAGCATGCCTTAAGTATGACTGTCTCTCATTTTCCCAAAGGTATGGCTCATATCTGGAATGAATCAAAAACAAAAAAGAGCAGAAAGCAGTTACTTTATAGGTGGGATACAATATAGAACAATAGAAGGATAGAAGATCAAATGAATTTGCATAACTGTCTATACTAGATATCTTAACTTCATTCATGTGAAACATTATTTCAGTTGGTTACCATCAACTTAGTGAAAAATAAATAAGATCAAGTAGCACTGATTTTTCTCTGGGATATATCGTCAAAATATGTCAAGATAATTGGAAACTGTATATTTCACCAATAATAGAGCTGTAATCCCAAATCACTTGGATCGGCTACATGAACCTAGAAGTAATAGTCCTAGATCAACCATAATTCTCTTCACCTTCCACTCTTTTCTGCCAAGCACAATAAGCTCATAAGTCCCCAACCCCTAGTGTATTTGTTTATCCCCCTGAATCTATGTCAGTATTTGTCCCCCACTCCTATTTATATGTTCTATTCACACTAAACTACTTCTACATCAAATCCGTTCAACAAAGCTCATTAAATCTTCTAGGGTGTCCACGTCAACATATTGAAGAGAGAAATATAGGTTTATAAGAACAGTGACTGACCTAATTATACCACTAAAATCAATATTCTAGCGTGGTTTAGCCTAAATGTTTTATGATCCAGCTGAGTGACATTAAGTCAATCCTAAGTTTTACCATGGAATTCGCAGTTGTGTTTGGCTCACTTCTTTTGCCAGGCTGTTTGTCTAGAAGTCTATCCCCAGTTGCCCATGAGCCTATGGCCGGGTGGCCTCGAAGTCCACCCCAACGACACATAATCCATTTAACTCGGTCTTCCTTTTGGTATGTATTGCCCCCTATCAGGTCTACCAGACAAAAAACTCAATTCCGCACTGCTGTTGAGTCGTCGGACTTGTCCACTAAAGGATTCGTTGAATTTTTGTGGATTGCATTGGGGGAAATCTACCAAAGCTAGGCAGATAGATAGACTCCATTCCCGCTGCTAAGGGTAAGCAAGAAAAAAAAAGGATTTTATTAACCAGCGCCCTTTTTTGGGTATATAGGTACTAAGGGACTGTTTGTTTCAGCCTCTTAATGGTTCAGATGTCTGAATGGTTCAGCACTTAATGGTTCAGACTGTTTGTTTCAGCCTCTTAATGGTTCAGATGTCTGAATGGTTAAGAGATTTGCCTCTGAATGGTTAAGTATTATACAGAGTCTGAATGGTTAAGACCTCTTATCTGAATTGATCAGACATTTGCCTCTGAATAGTTAAGCAATATACTAGCTCTTAATGGTTCAGACCTTTTACTGGTTCAGCACTTAATGGTTCAGACCTCTTACTGGTTCAGCACTTACCGATTCAGAAGTTGCCAAACAGCCCCTAAGAGTCCTCTCACTACCAACCACTAGACACCATGTGGTAGTCCAACGACACATGGTTCTTTAGGTGTAGTTGCTGCATTTTTTTAGCTTTAGTCTGAGGGAGAATTCTTTTGCAAGTGACCAACAGTAAGATTCAAAATAAGTATGCGCCAGAGAAGTAGGAAAAACACGATCCAAACCATAGCGTTTGGAGGCCCCGGACAAGGTTTAGTCTATATGATCTAGTTGGAGAGCACAAGCAGAGGTGGTAGAGGATACTTCATGATTAGCGATTTCGATAGTTTCAAAATTTGACTAAACCACCTCTAGTGGATCCAAATAGGTATTGATGGACTAAACATTGCCCGGAGCCTCCAAGCACTGAGGTTTAGACAATCCGTTTGAGGGAGAATCCCACATCAAAATATCAAATAATAAAGTATTGCATTTATAAGATCTTGTTCTAACTAGCTAGTAGACTAGATTCAACCTTTTAGTGTGATCTGGTCCAAATCCTTAATGACCAAATTGAGTGACCTAAACTCAATTCTAAATTATACGAAGGGTGATTCCCAATAAAAGTATTTCCAAACCCCAAGGTGGCCCAGAAAAGACCTAAACCTAACTGTTTGCATTCAATAGTTAAGTGACATTGTATCGTATAACATGGTATTATCAAGTCTTGCTAGTACTGAAGCTTACGTGAGCCAGTCAATACGATCCAACTTTTTTGAAAAGCCATTAATCAAAGCATTTATGCGCTCGCAATACAATGAGTCAGTGTGTAAATGATCTTGCTTGCGCCTATACGACAACTTTGGCTTTGGAACTTCAACTGATTCCTTATTTGTAAGAAGATCACCACCAGAGAGAATATCAGCAACAATTCTCAAATCCAACAGAACTTGCAAAGATCCTTTATCAGAGACTCGAGATCCACCGGCTTCTTCAATTGAAAGGAAGTCTCCATAAATATCAATTATCTAACAAACATTTGATAATCATAATAAAACAAGAAACTATCAAAGTCATAACCAAACGAACATTAAAAATGAAGGTCAAAGAGAAATGTATATATCCGTGATCCAGGGTTTGAGCTTGATATCCCATTTAAACAATCCTTGACTATAAAATTTGTAATGAGAGAAGTCCAAGTTGAGCATGATCATTTCATAGATAATGTGCACATGGATAATTACGGGAAATAGTGTGGGTCTAACAATTTCAAATGAACACACACATGAAAACACGATAGTTTGGGCCAAATCTAAATATCCTTTTAAATACTTCTAGATGGAATTTCAAGGATCCTTGTTCCACAAGATGGGCTTGGGAAAATCAAATAAAATGCACACAATAACATAATGATAACTTTAAAAACTATGACAGGTCTCAATATCTCAAAAATTGCACCTATAAGAATTCATGGTCTCGGGCATAGCTAGATATCCATTTTGAATAATCATAAAGAATTTTTTGGAAGCTAGACCCAAAGCTATATATATTGTACATACAATTTACACATACACAAATGTGTGTATAGACACACACAGATAAATAATGACAAACATACTAGTATTTTCAGTTTAAAGCACCCAGTCAACAACATACTCCGTAGCAAATAAGGCTAAATTGGAGCCACCTTCCAGCCAAAAAACAGAAATGGCTTTTGATCACCTTGTTGTCTATCATTCATAAACCTTCTGCTACATTATATAGTTTTATAATCATAGCATAACATCAAAAGAAAAAAGAAATCAATAAATACCTTATCTAACAGTGATGATGCAAAATTTTGCAGAATTAGTTTATCGAGAACATGTCCACCAACTCTTTGAATTTCTTCACATGCGTGGAACAACAATGAGGTTATATAAAGAGAGGGCATCGAAGGAAGGGATATCTTAATTTCTGACTGGTCTTGCTTTACAATAGTGTCCTCCCACCCCTGAAAACAGCAAGTGGGAAACTTAATATATATGTACACACACACAGCAAGTGGTCTTGCATCTCCCTTTTTAAAGTTTATAACTATGTGTTGAAAACAATCTTTTTAGAATTACCTCGGTACATTGCACTATTTTTAAATGTATGTGTACATTAGGAGAACAAATATGCAATCATGAAAAGATCCAATTATCAATAAAGTTAATCAATGGACAACACATGTATAAACTGTGTGTGTGAGCAGAAGTGGTTTCAATAAGTAGATCTTCATGCATACTTACTTTCTCATAACTAAAAATGGAACGCCCACAGACCTTTGTACAGACACAAAATGAAATAAAGAATGAACATAACCATATGATCTTAAATTTAATGGTTGGGATTCAATCTCCACTGATGGGTATACATTTTGGCAGTACCTACCTATTGAAAACACACCAACGCATGAACAAGCCACAAAACCATGGCCTATACTTTGGAATCTCCAAAACCACAAAACCATGGCCTATACTATACACTCCTTCCGTCCCAAAGTAATCGTCACACTTCACTATCCAAAGTCAAACTTTTTTTTCTTTCTTTACTTATTTTCTTTAATCATTTGTTAAAATAACATAGTTGTGATTGTATTTATATTTAAAGCTTCTGATCTGATCTTTGTCGGATCCGGTCCCAATAAGAATACGTAATAAGTGGAAGAGAACAAACTCTTAATATAGTTTTTTTAATACTCCATCCGTCCACAAATTATCTTCATGTTTACTATTTACATACTCAAACCTTGTCTACTCTTATTGCCTCTTTTAGGCATTCATTTGATAAAACAATATAGTCATGTCACCTCTGGTTTCTTAAACTTTTGATATGCAGAGTTGTTTTTATTCCACACCAATTTTTGAATAAATTGAATTGAAAATAATTTCTATCAAATATCGTAATGTGCAACGGGAAGATAATATTTGAACGGAGGGAGTATAAAATTTAATTTGAAATTTTGTACCGTTATTTAAATAAAACGAATTGAGAGTGAATTCAATCAACCATTGTTATTCGAATTGAGACTATATACATACATACATACATACATACACACACACACACACACATATATATATATATATGGGATTGAGTCCAGTTAGATGACATCTTTCGGTCAGATGAAACTTTCGGTCAGATGACATGCTTCAGAATGAGCACCACCTTGTTTGAGAATGAGCACCACCACATTTCAGAATGAACACTACACTGAGCAGAATGTGAATGAGTACTAGAGTGTTTCAGAATGAGTACTACGTTTATAATGAACAAATGTGTGAAAATCAACCCTACGATGTCTTAGAATCAAAAAATTACTCCCAAGTACCTCTTATTTTGCGTTTAGAACTGTCGGGTCCCATCAATTTTAAAAATGTACTGCGAGGTCCCTTAAATTATCTAGTAATTGACTCCCGGGTTACATTCCGTCAAACCAACCGTGAATGCCAGCGACTCTGCTACCTTCCGTAATAACAACCCTTGAAATTCCAAATTTAACCCTCACTTCTCTTCTTCAAGTATACAAATATAGCAGAGGCGTAGAAATTATGAACTAGGGTTATTTGCTAAGAAGGAGGTGCGAATCAAACAAAAGGTACGAAGCTTCTTGTTCAAGGATATTGAAGAGTGAAATAATCAAAATTATACACCAAAAATCATAACAAAACTGTTCATTAACCCATCAGATGTCATACCCTAAACTCGAATTCCTTAAAATCACACACATATGGTAAAATTTAAACAAATTTAAACAATCAAAACCCCAGTTTCATGTTCGGTAAAATCGAGTCTGAAGAAGATGAAGAACAGAAATGGATTTATAAATTCCACTCGTTCAGGCTTAATTTTTATACTTACCATTGAGAAACTGACAAGAGAATCCAAGAGAAAGTTAATCGTAGCTTTCTTGGAAGTTGAAGTGAGAAGAAGATGAAGTCAACACACGTAATATATCTCTATTTGGAGTAAACGAGGGGTATAATAGATAATTTGCAGCCTCTAACGGTTGGTTTGACGGAATGTACCCCGCGAGTCAATTACTAGATAATTTAAGGGACCTTGCAGTACATTTTTAAAATTGATGGGACCTCGCAATTCTAAGCGCAAAATAAGAGGTAGAGTAATTTTTTGTCTTAGAATGAACACTACGTGGATTCAAAATGAACCCAATGATGTCGTCTAGCTGACATTGAATGAACATTGTTGTTTCGGAATGAATACTACATTGTGATGAATAGTTGTATGAGAATGAATCCTACGTTAATATAGAATGAGCGCTACATTGATTCAGAATGAGCCAAACATTATCATCTGACCGAAAGTGTCATCTGACCGAAACATGTCATCTGACCGGAGTCAATCCCTATATATATATATATATATATATATATATATATTGGTTCTGGTGAGAATATGATCTTATGAAAGAAATAAGAATGAATCTGTTGCTTTAGATTGTGAGATCTAAGGGTCGGGATTGCATCAAAATTAGGTGCACCAAAATGGTTTGAAAATGCATCATGTCAAAATGCACCAAAATCCTTTGAAAATGCATTATCCCAAAATTTGAGTGCAGGATGCAATCTGAGCCGCACGATGCATTAGATTCAAAGGCTAGATTTTATTCTTATTTCTTTCACCAAGGCGCATTCTCACTTGAACCGGCCCCTATATATATATATATATATATATATATATATATATATATATATATAATACAGATTGTAAGGCTATTGAGAATGGCATTGAAATCGGATAAGACTTGGATTAGTCCTCTTCTCAAAACTCTCAAGGAAATCTCACATGGGAAGGACTTCACTCTTAAACATGTGCAGAGGGACTTCAACCAAGCAGCTCATCCTTTGGCTAGATTTGCTATTTTCTACTCTCATTTTGGAGAATTTTTGCACTTTTGTTGTTTGCCTAGAATGGTTAGAGGTTGTATTAAACTTGATGTATCTCTTCCCCATATTATAATTAAATAAAAAGCATTTTCAATTTAAAAAAAGAAAAAGAATATATATATATACACACACACACACACACACACATATATAATTGAATTTGAAATTTTGTACCATTATTTAAATAAATTGAATTGAAAGTGAATTCAATCAACCATCGTTATATATATAATATATAATATTATATACATATATATATATATATATATATAATATTATATACATATATATATATATATGTATGTATGTATGTATGTGTGTGTGTGTCTATATATATATATATATATATATATAGGCAAGGATCTTTTGACCTTGGTTAAAATGACCTTCAAATGGCCTTGGTTTTATTGGGCACCAAAGGTGCTCCATTGGTAAAATTGATGGTTCCTACCCCCTCTAGCCCAGCCTCCTAGATCGCCGATTTGGGCAACCGCAATCTGGGGGAGTAAGAACCATCAACTTTACCAACGGAACACCTTTGGTGCCCCATGTCATTTGAAGATCAAATTAACCAAGGTCAAAAGAACTGTGGTGTCTATGTGTGTGTGTGTCACACTCGCCATATTGTCGCATAGGCAAGTGCTTAATTGATTAAGCAATGTGAAGGTTCTTTGGCACTTGGCAGTGTAATAAGTAACAACTATGCTTAGAGGGGTAAATTTCAGTAATGGTACGTGAACTTTCACTTGAATTTCGAAGTGGTACCTGAACTTTAAATCCTTTCACAAAAGTACTTGAACTTACATAATCCTTTCACTAAAAGTCCATTTATCCGTTTCAAGGTTAACTTTCGGTCATTTGGGCTAAATTAGAATTTTATATATTCTAAAATTTTCAATTTGACCCCATTTCTTTTTTCTTCTTCTTCCCCCTCCCACTCCCTTCTTTCTTCTTCTTTCACCCCCTTTCTTCTTCTTCTTCTTCAAAGCTTCCTCAACCCACCCCACTCCCAGTCCCACCCCGCCAGCCCCCCACTCTCTCCCTTCTTTTTTTCTTCTTCTTCCCCCTCTCACTCCCCCCAACTTTGAAGTCTTATGCAGTTTGCATCCTCATTCATCTTGGCTTGGTGAAAGAGACGTGTCTACCCTGGTGACCAGGATTGGCTCTCATTTATTGGATGATACTGATCAGCAGTTCCTTTGAATCAAAGTTTTTTGTGGCCTTCAATTTACTGATAAATTGCTTCTAAATAAATACGTTATGTGTCCTCTTTCTTATTTTTTTTCATAATTCAAGATTTTTATTAAATTCAAGGGATTTAAATTGAGCTAATCTTGTGAAGTTTAGATGATGGTTGAGTGCGTGCCCCATGGTTAGAATGAATTTCTTTCTGTTGAGGAAACGAAAAGCTATGGTTAGAATAAGTTTCTTTATGTTGAGGAAACGAAAAGCTTGTAGAGTAAGGCGTTCCAGTGGGAAAACTTCGCAGAGAGCATATGTTGTTCCTAGGTATTTGTAGCAGATGGTAAAAGGTATTGGTTCATCTCTTCACTGAAATTATAAGTGAAGAGGGGGTGAAAGAAGAAGAAAAAGAAGGGAGTGAGAGGGGGAAGAAGAAGAAAAAAGAAGGGAGAGAGTGGGGGGCTGGTGGGGTGGAACTGGGAGTGGGGTGGGGTGAGGAAGCTTTGAAGAAGAAGAAGAGGAAAGGGGGCGAAAGAAGAAGAAAAAGAAGGGAGTGGGAGGGGGAAGAAGAAGAAAAAAAGAAATGGGGTCAAATTGAAAATTTTAGAATATATAAAATTCTAATTTAGCCCAAATGACCGGAATTTAACCTGGAAACGGGTAAATGGACTTTTAGTGAAAGGATTACGTAAGTTCAAGTACTTTTGTGAAAGGATTTAAAGTTCACGTACCACTTCGAAATTCCAGTGAGGTACCATTACTGAAATTTACCCATGCTTAGAGGTTTGATATGCTTAACAACTTCCATTGAAGCTATTTCACTAGACATCTTACTTTAACTCTATTTGGTTATTGGAGTACCCTTAAGGTTAGATATAGCAAATGAGAAGCTTTCAAGGCCTAGTGCTGCTAAGATCAAAGTAGAAGTAGATTTGTTGAAGCAGCTACCTTGTAGATTCCAGATTTGAAACATTGAGACTGAGGGGCTGTTTGGCAATTTCTGAATAGGTAAGTGCTGAACCAGTAAGAGGTCTGAACCATTAAGTGCTGAACTAGTAAGAGGTCTGAACCATTAAGAGCTAGTATATTGCTTAACTATTCAGAGGCAAATGTGTGATCAATTCAGATAAGAAGTCTTAACCATTCAAACTCTGTATAATACTTAACCATTCAGAGGCAAATATCTTAACCATTCAGACATTTGAACCATTAAGAGGCTGAAACAAACAGTCTGAACCATTAAGTGCTGAACCATTCAGACATCTGAACCATTAAGAGGCTGAAACAAACAGCCCCTGATTCAGAGGATGAATTTTGGCATAGAGTATGAGGGAGTTCATTACTACTATTTTGGACGTTTTAGACATTCCACAACACTAATCATTGCAGGTCTAGTTCTTATTCATCAACTCCATTTAGATCACAACACATGTTCAAGGGGAATATCAATGATCACTAACAACTAGTACCAAATAACAAGCACATGCAGTCAACAACACCAACAACAACTCAGTGGAATCCCACGGAAGTAGGGTCTGGGGGTGTGTGTTTTTAGACCTTACTTTTACTTGGAAGTAGAGAGGCTATTTTCAAGAGACCCCAGCTCGAGTAGCACATAAGATAGAGCACACAGAAGAAACATTGAGTAGGTAAAGAAAGATAAGAAAAATGAACAAGAAATTGTTAAGCACAAAAGCTAACGCCAAACTACCCAACTATCCTAATTCTATCTCTTCAAACACTCCGGTCTAAGGTCATATCCAAGGTGAGGGCCAAAAGTTTAAGGTCGTGGCTAACCACGTCTTTCCAAGTCTTCTTAGGTCTACCCCTTTCCACATTCCCACCCACCACTGAAAGCCTCTCACATCTTCCCATCCCACGTCATTTCACATGCGCAAACCACCTCAGCCTAGCTTCTCGCAGCTTGCTCTCCACAGAGGCCACTCCCAACTACTCGCGAATAACGTCGAATCCTATCCAACCTCGTCTTCCCACACATCCAACGTAGCATCCGCATCTCCGCAACATGAAGCTGGTGAATATGAGTTTTCTTAACTGCCCAGCACTCTACTCCGTATAACATGGCTGATCTCAATACAGGCCTGTAGAACTTCCCTTTCATCCTTGTTGAAATCTTCTTGTCACGAAGTACACTTGAAGCCATCTTCCACTTGGCCCAAGCAGCTCCAATACGATGAGCAACATCCCCGTCTAACTCCCCATCATGGATGATTGAACCGAGATAACGAAACTTGTCTCTCTAAGGCACTGGGTGAGAATCAATCAGAACTTCTGTGTCTAAGTCGGTTGCTCCACCACTAAAACAACATTCCATGTACTCATTTTTAGTCCTACTTAGCTCGAAGCTTTTCGATTCCAAAGCAATGCGCCATAACTCTAACTTGCCATTAAGTCCCTCCCGTGTCTCATCAATCAACACAATATCATTGGCAAAAAGCATGCACCATGGGACCTCCCCTTGGGCACTTTGTGACAAGACGTCCATAACCAAAGCAAAAAGAAAGGGACTAAGTGCCGACCCCTGGTATAACCCTACCTCAATACCAAAATGGTAAGAGTCCCCACCAGTCGTCCTCACCCTAGTCCTAGCCACATCATACATATCACGGATTGCACAGATATACGCAATCAGCATCCCACAGCACCCTGTCATACGCTTTCTCGAGGTCAATGAACACCATATGTAGATCCTTCTTCTTAGCACTGTACTTTTCCATCAGTTGCCACAATAGGTGAATAGCATCCATTGTCGACCGACCAGGCATGAAACCAAACTGATTCTCAGAAATGCACACCCCCTTCCGTAGTCTAACCTCGATGACACGCTACCAAATCTTCATGTTGTGGGTAAGAAGCTTGATACCTCTAAAATTGTCACAACACTCGATATCGCCTTTACCCTAGTATAGCAAGACCATCACACTCTCCCTCCACTCATCTGGCATCTAAAAATAGTATTGAAGAGCCTCGTTACCCAGACCAATCCGATGCTACCCATGTATTTTTAAAACTCCAAAGGAATGTCATCCGGCCCCAATGCTCTCCCCCTTCTCATCCCGCTAATGGCCCGTGTCACCTCATCTTGACTAATGTGCCGACAAAATCCAAAGTCTCGATGCCTCATACAGTCACACACTGAAAAGACACAATTAGGGTTGCTATATCTTACAAACATGGAAATTGAAATGATTCCCCACAAAATGAGACTGGTGAATTAAAGGAGGCCACCGCATTCATGAATGTCACACAAACCAATGATGGTCTAAATGTTGGTTCTTGTAACTCTGAATAAGATATTGCCATATTGGTATACACATCAAAGTCTTGTGAGTGGAGGTGGAGGTGACGCTTTCTGGTTTTAGGCCCATATAACATAAATGGGGTCAAGGCTGGTTCACCTTCTAGAAGAATCCAGGTTGGTGACTCTAAGAATTAAGCGAAACATGCCCAATATACCCCACTCTGAACTAGGAGCTGAGGTGCATGCAAGACATTGTGTCTACCCTAAGAAGCAGAGAGGCGGTGGCACTAATATTTCTAAAAAGTAAAAGAGGCATCAGAGCTCGGAAGATAAAGAAAATAACAAGTGGAAAGTCTCTGACTACTGATACTCAAAAACAAGTTTTAAAAGATGAGTTATCAGCACCTTTCAGGAATATATCATATTATGTTGAAGGAGGCTACAGATTGCTACGAATCTTAAGGATATCAGTGATAAACAGGTTTAAACCTTAACCTGTAGAAAGTGGAAGGAGAAAGAAAAAATACTAAGAATGAACAGTTCTTTGGAGCCGATCTGAATGTTGTTACTAGGCAAACTAGTAAAGCCTGATAATGATAGAACGTCTTTATTGTGCATTATCCTGTGTAATGTAAAGTTTGGTTTCTTTGTTTTTATTTTCCTTTGGACTCTTGGTGAGGTTTGCCTCACACTCACACTAAGTAAGCTTGTATTGTTCATGATCTTCAATTTTTCATTTATAAAAATTTTCCTTTTCTCTAAAGAGAAAAAGAATATCAAGGTATAAGTACTTACGCAATTCCAACCAAAGTAGAAGGAAGCATTACAACTAAACCAGAGCAGTATCTGCACAAATTCTATCTTAATTTTCAACGAGAAAAAAATACCACAAGAGGGGAAAAGCAGGGATATGTTGAGATGAGTAACAAAGCATGACACTCACCTTTAAGGGAGCACTTGTGGACAGCGCATCATCCTGGTTGAGATTATGTGATAAGATAATGGCAAGTTCACTAGAAACCCACAAAGCCCACATGTTATGAGCCTTGATGTAAAGGTCGTGTGTTGTTTTATTTAATGCTTGAAGTTGTGGGCTTGAACTGTCATCTGCTCCAAACAAAGCAGAATTTGCCAATGAGCTATGTCTTCTGGATCCAGGATTGGTAGTAGTGGACTCAAGAGCGGCAATTGAACTCCGTATCACAGTCAATGACTTAAAGGAGGCAGCAACTGCAGAGTCATTCGCCCATGATCTTGGTGATCCAAGTACTAAAGGTATATGCTTACAATGTTTCTGGAATGCAAACAATAGGCGCCCAATAAATAAAGATCTCTCAACGAGTACCGCAGGTGGGGGCACCAACTCATCTTTGGAGTGTTTATTGTCCAAATTAGTATTCAGTACATCTAATTCATTCTTGATCTCTATTAATATCATTGAAATGCTTTCATAGCATTTACTCTGTAAATATGGTGCAAGTTCCTTCAGCCTCAAGGATGCATTTGGCGAATCGAGGAAGGTCAAGAGGTCTTTAAGTACAGCTTCACAGCAGCTGTCGACTGCATCTCTGATTCGGCTGACTTCAGATCCAAAGTAAGCATTGAGAGTGTTATGAAAACCATCTTCATCTGCCTGCTGTGGTTTAGACACCATGAGGGAGCTGACCCTTTTGACATTGGGACCCATGAACCAGACCCCTCCACTACTCGGAGACCTATTCAAGTATGCTTGGAAATTGATCTGCTCTGCAGGAGTTCCCACAATAGACCGAATCGAACCAATTACGTTTACAATTTTACTCAGGTCATCAAATCCTTTGTCAATAATTGATTTCATCCTCTGTACAAAAGCTTCTTCAAATATTTCATCCCAAAGATCTGACTCACCACCCAATACAAGCTCATGTGTTCTTTTCCACGGAAGCTCAATTTCAGAACCAAAAACACTCTTAAGCCACTCGAGACTCCCTTCCAAAACCAGTTTACTGTCCATAGTCTCACGTATCAACTTTTCAGCCACTGCAAGATCCTGTCCATTATGTATGACATTAATCAAGTACCTATTGTTGACCATGTTCATGATCTCTTTACCACAGTTTCTAAGCCAGTCAGAACATGCTGTTGAAATATAACTCCTATCCAATAGTACCATCTTCAACTCCAACTCAGACCTACATAAGTTCCATAACCTCACTTCCTCATCAGGGTTTGGTATTCCTCCAAAGAACTGGGAAGCGGGAGGTGATCCTAGTATCATTTTATAAAATAAAGGTAAATCATTCAACACTTGCAAGAACAGCTCCCCAACTTGTCCTATAGTAACCTGAATTATCTTTATAGCTTGGCAGTAAACAGAAATCACATCAGAGCTGGTGGCATTTGCATTTGAACAACAGCCAGCTAACTTTTTAGAGATACATAATTTGCGCCTTTCAAGAAATAAAGTAAGAACCTGCTTGGGATCAAGGTCGTCTATTACAGCCACAGCAGCTAGAGCATCACCATAGGCATCAATGCCTAGTTCAATGGTTAGATCCAATAACCTATCACGACTCCGCTGTGAAATCTGAGCCTTGAAAGTCTCCACCATTTGCCATTGGTGTTGGAGCAGAGGGAAATTGGAAAGAACATTTTTGCTCTCTGTGTTGGAAGTCAAGCTATAGTGAACGAGCTTTGCCCGAATATACCTAGCTGATGACTCAAGAAACATGGATTCGTCCAGGCAGCCCCATATGTTTTCCGGCGTGTCCACTAGGTATTTGACTCGACAGGCAATGCCATAAATTCTAGCCTTTGTATGATCAATTGATGTTGGGGAGTTGGAGGCCGTAGCAGAGGAGAGCGAGTGGAGAATGCCTCGGTAGATTGCGGAGATGTTTGCGGAAATGGACTCACACGAGGCCTTCATCAACACTATCGAGTCTGCGGAATCGATGAGATCGCGGTAGCGGTTGCCGACCAGCTGCCGGAGCTCTTCGCTCTTGTCCTGGATCTGCCTCCTCGTGGCGATCTCTACATTCCTAATTTCGGCAATAGGCTTCGTGCGAAAGAGCAATTCAGCGTCTTGCTGGTGGCTTCTCAATCTGCCTCCGGCACCACCGGAAGGCGATGGCGGTAGGGGCGACCCTACACTCATAGCTGCTGGAGGATGCTTGATCCGATAACGTTGAGAAGGAGCAGCTGCTAAATGTCTTTGATGCAGAATCTGCTCTTGATTCAAATAGAACTCCTTGACCATGAAGGATTTATGATTTCTTGTTTTAAATTATTATCTCGTTTTCGAAATTAGTATTTCATTTTAATTCATTTATTGTAATTCTCAAATTTGATTTCTTAAATTTAAATGATAAAAATAGGTATATGAATTTTAAATTGAACTTTGGTATGAACTAGAAGAATTTATCTTAAATCTAAGTCTAATTTTTTTAAAATTCTTAAACAAAGAATTTGAGCTAAATTCGGATTTGAAATCCAAATTCAAGTCCCAAACATAACACAAAATACACAATTTTATTATTTCTCAACAAAAAATAATTTTAAATAATAAAAAAATAGAAATTTAAATATACAAATGTCAAGTTTGCTTATATTTGTGGACATTTATCTTTAAAGTTAGACACGCTTTCTCCCAAAATTGAGAAGAATATATTGGAATGAGTGGAAAAGATTTTGTATAGAATATTTAGCAATCTACTCAGTAAGTATGAATTGACTGAAATATCTAGGGGTATAATGTTAATTATTTAGAAAAAAGGCCAAGAAACAAAGCGTCAAAGTATCTTAACGGGAAGTTTTTCTTTATATTTTAGAAAACAAAAATCCTAGATTTTCTCTCTCTAACCATGGGAAAGAGAGCGCGACTGCCTAAACTGGACGGAAAATCCACCGGAAAATCCATCGGAGAAAGCCATGGCGCACCCGACAAATCGCTACCCAATGATGATCGGAAATCAGATCCACATAGTTCATCTCCAATTCAGGTTTCATTGGCTTCAGATCACATTCCAGGTAAAATCAATACTGAGAATCCTTCGGAGACTCCGGCTAAAATCCAAACACCGATGGAAAGCTTTGTAGAAGTTGTGGGGATCTAGGAAGAGCTCAATTTTTCAATCTGAAATTCATTCCAACAGATGTAATTGATGGTAAATCTATAGGTTGACACAAGAGGATGTTATAGAACCAGGAACATACTCAGATTCTGCTTTAGTATGTTGTATATTTGGAGCCAATCCGCCTCTTGAGGTTGTCGATGGTGTTCTCCTTCGTATCTGGAGAACCTATAGAATTCATGATGTTTCTTTTCTGAAAGAAGGTCAGTTCATTGTCAGATTCCAAAAGAAGGAGGACAGAGATGAAATAATCAAAAGGAAATACTACTATATGGACAACAAAGTTGTTTATGTACAAGAATGGTATCCAGGGTGCAAGGTTGATATAATAGGGCGTAAGGATATTCCTAATTGGATTCAACTTCCAGATTTGGATATGAAATACTGGGGTTTAACAGCCCTAAGCAAATTTGGGAGTTCCATAGGGCAACCAATTATGAGAGACAAAGCTACTGCTGCCAGAACTAAATGGACATATGCCTGTATACAAATTGAAGTTCAAGTTAACCAAAATTTTCCAGACCAAGTCCACTTCATCAATGAAGAGGGGAGAATAATAACACAGGCAGTTGTTTATGAATGGGCACCTACCCTTTGTTCTCACTGTAGCAGAATTGGGCATATGACAGAGAATTGCAGGAGGAAAAAAGTAACTACAGAAGGGAAACCACCTAAAAAGAAACCCATTTGGAGACAAAAAACTACTCAGGAAAAAGTTACTAAGCAAGCAGAAGGTGCTGAGGTAACCCCAAAGACCTCTGAGCATGAGGATGTGGCTAATGATTCAGCTGTGACAGGAAATTCAGCTGATAAAGAAGAAGAATTTACAGAAGTTAGTAGGAAGAAAGCAGCACGTAGGAAATCATTAGAAGAGAATGAAGCATCATTTATTGGTATGATACACAAAGATCCGAGCTTAGCCCCTTATGAGGGGCACTACCCTTTCCTTCTATGATTGGTTGCTGGAATATAAGAGGGCTTAATAGCCTTAATAAACAGAATAAGGTTAAGGAGTTCATAAATAAAATTTTCCTTTCTATCATTGGACTCTTGGAGACTAAAGTGAGGGAGGCCAACTATACACAAATAAAGGATAGATTGGTTGGAAGCTGGAGTTCTTTTATCAATAATAATTTCACCCCCTAGGTAGAATATGAGTTATAAACCGGACTCGGCTTGTTTTTATTAAACGGTCCGGGCCGGAACGGGTTTTCAAAATTTTAAAATTGAAACCAGACCTAACCCGGCTTATTTGAAACGGGCCGATTCCACGGGTCAACGGATCCGAACCTATCATGATACTAATATTAAAAAAAATGAAGTGATAATAAATTAATAATACATACATGGTCATTCATCATTAGTCCACAACAATGTACTATCCCCATTGTCAATTTCAAGTCATCCAACACAAAAAAGAAACCTAAATGAAGACAAAACAATGACAAACCTAAATGAAGACAAAACAATGACAAAGAGGAGCATGAAAGTAAAGTGTACACCCCATGGTCATCCAACAATAACAACAAACTGTTCGGTGACTTCCTACTCTCTGACTACTTCAAAATATTGAAGGGCGTAACTCGATCGTAAGGTTAAGACCGGTGTATTTACTAAAAATAATACTGGGGTATCAAAAAACGGTCCGGTCCGGGTCCAATACAATTTCAAAATGGGGAACTAGACCGACCCTAAAATCTATAAGGACCGGACCGACCCGGACCGTTATAAATCTATAAGGACCAGACCGACCCTAAAATCTATAAGGACCTGGCGGTTCGGTTCCGACTCCCGGTTCCTTGGCCCATTTGCCCACCCCTAGGTTGTCTTTTAAATTAGAATGTCCACTGGCTCAAAAAAGTACACGATATTGGGTGATATATTACGGATGGGTTCTACTGCCATTGGAGATTAGTGGCATTAGTGGCCACTCTTAATCCTAGCCATTCATCTCATCAAATTTTTAATCCAATGGCTCTCAATGTTTACTCACTTATTACTCCAAATAACGTTGTATACCTCTGTTTTCCGTCAAGATTCACCATCACCGCCGTCTCATAGGTCTCTTCGATTCCCCCATTCCCAGCCCTCTTCACCATTGCGATTCCCCCAATCTCTATAGCGATTAACATCAAGGCAGGCGCAGGATAAAGAATGAGCCAGGAATAAAGTCCAACGCACTCAAATCGGTAATTTTTAACCCTAGATTAATTTTGATTTATTTGTTCCAGTTTGTGCGAAAGGAGTTCTTGAGTTCTTTTTTCCAAAAGGAATTTGCAATCATGGTTTTTGCAAATTTACACCCCCTGTGCGAAACAAGTTTTGAGCCAGGTTCTTTGCTTTACAAAAGTAATTTTTCCACCATGTACGAAACATGTTTGCAATCATGGTTTCTGCAATTTTTTTCATTTTGCAATGAGTTCTGAAAAGTTTTCAATTTTACTTTGATTATTTTTTTGAAAATTTTTCCATGTGATTTTTCTACAAATTTTTCTGCAATATTTCTTTTTGTGCGATTCTGCAAATTTTTCTAGTTGAGATTTTTAAATTTGCAATGAGTTTTTTTGGTGTTATTTTAACCATTTTTTGTGCGATTCATACAAGAAAACACACGAGTAGAGAGAATGACTACTTTAGTTTGGTGTGTCGTAAAGCAGGCTTCTACAAGGCAAAACCAAGCGATGGTGACTCATTAGAAAAGAAAAAAAAAGAAAGACATCGACGGTTAGAGTAGGTGCCTGAGTGCATTGAGTTTGAAGTTTGATAAAAAAACTGGGAAATGGTTTATCTACTCATTTATAGCAAAGCACAACCATGGTATTTGATGTTTGATGCAAAAATGTTTGTGTTGACTATCCAAATGTTTGTCACAATTTACTTTCTGGTCATATAATATGTAGGTGAAAATAGTATATATGTGCTTTATTTCCATATTTCCATTGTACTGGTAGAATATCCGAAGAACTCCATTGGTAAACCAAGTACTGAACAAACTCTTAAAAAATTGAAATACATACAAATTACAACAGGTACCCCCTCCACCCATACTTAAGTGCCCACCGATTTAAAAATTTTTGGTCCTTTGTATCTGTTCCAATTGGTAAAGATATGCGGCACATTTTCAATTATTTTCCCAAGTGTTAGCATTTAGACTATTACTCTTAATCTTATTTCTAGCAGTTCACGAAATCATGAATAAGGGAGTATAATCACTCGACATATATAGCACAGTAAAATCATCAATAATCATGCAATGTTTAGCAGACATGTTGTTTTCACATACAAATTAGATAAAAATGGTTTACATAAATCATACAAACAATACTTTAGAACAATCACATAATCTCAAATTACAAAAGGAAAACAAATATTGCAATATTCCTGACAAAAGCTGCACCAAACCCAACCATAAAAGCTCCAAATTGCTTTTGTTTGGTACGCATTTTTAGCATCTTTATCTCTTCGTCTTTTGCATTGCTCTTCTTTAGGAGTCCGGGAATGATCTTCTTACCTCGGTCGCATATTGGAGGGTCGAGCCATTCCCAGTAACCGCACTTGCGTGTACCCCCCTATCCAACACCAAAAAACATTAGCAAAAAAAATTCATCGCACTTCCACATTCTTCTTCCAGGATCTTTATCCGTCCATGAAGTAAGAATCTTCATCTCTTTCCTGCACCTACAGGTGGGCACCTCCAACCATTCACCATAATCACAGATCATTCTCGTTGAGTTGAAAGAGTAATTACTACAAATATCAAACGACAAAGGTTATATTTCTATGTGAACTTCTTACCATCATTCGCACTAACGATATAGGCCTACATACCTGCTTTGAGACATTACTCATAAAAGATCAGATTCAGTTCAAATCAGTGTGTAAAACAAAGGCAATTATCTATCAAAATTGCACCAAACCCAACCATAAAATGTTATATACATTTGAAATCTACGTGTAAAGCAAACCTAAACAAAAGCAATTTCAAATGTTATACTCCGTATCTTTCAAATGTAAGGAAACTTGGACAATAAAGCTGGACAACAAAGTTTGCAGGTGATTTTTATCACTTCAAATCTGCGTGTAAAGCAGGTTATATAGATTTCCAGGTTATTCAAGTTCCTCAAATTTCCAGGTTATTCAACATATTTGAAAAAAGAGATGGAGATTCACAACAATATTTTAACAACATATTTGAAAACAAAAGTATCAAGATCGAGATTTTATCTGAAAAAGTATCACAGCGAAGTACAAAAAATCAAAATTGGATGTTGTAGAAACTTGAAAAACAAGATTGAACACCTTATACACAAATTTGCACACAAAAAAAAAAAAAAACCAAAATCAAAACTAGGGTTCGCTTGGTTTGGCTAAAATTGAAAAATATAAACCAGCCGAACGAAATAACTGGAGATGGAGGAATATATACCTGGACGAAAGAATTCGTGGGAGGGATCTTCCGGGAGGAATCACGATCTTGGTGGGAGGGATCTTCGTCGGAGGGAGTCCGCGTTGTGCGTCAAAGAGACGGTCGAGAGAGATAAGGAAACGGAGAAAGTTAAGGGAGACGGAGGTAATACTCTTTTGATTTAATGATGGGTGTATAAGAGCCATTGGATTAAAAATTTGATGAGATGAATGGCTAGGATTAAGAGTGGCCACTAATGCCACTAATCTCCAATGGCAGCAGAACCCATCCGGATATATTATTATATTTATTTTTTCCTATTACAAGTTCTTCATTAGTGACTCCCCCTTTGTAGTAAGAAAATAATAGCATAAATTGAAATGAGTTAGGCAAAAATATTTACCATCAAAGAGGTGAAGTGTTTGAATTGATACTGATGGTGGCAGCATGACTCCAACACCAAATTCTCAGACCTTTGATTTTGGAGAGAAAGATCAAAGTAAGACTAAACATTAGAAATATACCAAAATAGGACTTCCATGTTTTTATTCTCGAAATAGGACTTACATCACCAAAAATTGTCATATACATTACAAAAAAAGTATAGTAATGTGCAAATGTACACTGCCACATTACCACAGTGCAAAGTCACATTACCACAGTGCAAAGTCTTATTTTAGGAAAAAAAATATGAAAGTCTTATTTTGTCACTTTTCTCTATGTTTTAGTCCCATTTAAGACGATTTCTATTGATTTTGCCTTTGAAAGGCGGTAGAATGAGATAGACCCATTTTGCATGTACATATTGTTATTATGAAGAGAGAAAATTATTAGCATTAGCTTAAGTACGCTTATGTAGTTATTAATTTAGATACCATTTATGAATGTATTTGTTATCAAGTTGTTGATATTTAAAGATATTATTTCTTTTTACGTTCTTTACACTTCTACAATATCGCTTATTCTATCTTACACTTCACAATCTGTAGGTTAGCTTATTGTTCTACAAGTAGTGCTATGATCCTCGAATTCATGATTAAAGTATGTTGAGCACCAATTCCGAGAATTCAAAATACAATTTTTTGTTGCAAGAAAAGATTCTATTGATAGTAATCATTCTGATATCCTTTTCCAATATAATGTTTTTTAGGAGGAATTTTTTGTTACTTTACCATATACTGTTGTGCTCAGTTACTCTTCGTAATCATTCTAATATCCTTTTCTAATATAATCTTTATGAGGAGGTATTTTTTGTTACTCTACCATATACTGTTGTGCTCAGTTACTCTTTTCGTCTAAAAAAATTTCATTTCTGACTTTACAGAAATTAAGAAAGAAGCCAAAGGGTAAAGTGTGGAGAAACTATGTTAAAGAGAAGAATTATATTGAAAGAGAGTTATTATCTAGAAAATGTCATTTTAAAAACATTTAGAGACTTAAGAGCAACCTATGTATTTTTCAAGATGTACTTTAACATAAGAGACTGTTTTCCTTGAAGTAATTTGTATTAATTTAATTGTATTTTCTACAGATTGCAATAATTAAATTCCATGTTACTTTTATATTCAATTTTACTTGAATTTAAATTTATACATTAATTCTTTTAAATTTGGGTTCCACACATTTAAGATAAATTTATGGCCGTGCAATGCATGGGTATAAAATCTAGTCTTATCAGAATCAGATTAGATCAGATCCATTCAGATATGATCTGATCAATCAATTAGGATAAAAAAATTATTTAAAAAAATAATAATTTTAAAATAATAATAATAAAAATTACAATCATAACAATGATTATTATTATCCATAATAATAATGAATAATAATAATATTTTATTATCCTTGCACTTAATAATAACACTTATAGTAATTAATAATAATAATAATTAAAATAATAATAATCATTATTATTATTAACTAACAATGATAATAATTACAGTAGTAATAGTAATTAATATTAATATCATTATTAATTGACAGTAATAAAAATAATTCATATTAATAATTAATAATAATAATAATTAATTATACTAATTAATAATAAAAAAATAATTTATTATCATTGTACTTAATAATAACAGTAATAGTAATTAATTATAATAATTATTGAGATGATAATAATCATTATTATTAACTAATAATAATTAATAATTACAATAGCAATCATTAATGATAACACGTAATAATAATTATAATAATTTATAATAATAATAATAATAATAATTAAGATGACAATAGTAATAAAAATATAATATAATGATTACACTTATAATTATTATTAATAATATTGTGAACATTATTAATAATAATTATTAATAGTAATAAATAATGAATTATTATAAATTTTATTATTATTATTACTCTAATTATTTGAATTCGAATTAAATCCATTCCGATCAGATTAGTTTAATTCATATCAGATCAGATCAAATTAGATCCATTCGAATTTAATCACATTATATCCATTCAGATCAGATGAGCCTTAAAAATTCAGTTCAGATCAGATCAGTCAAAAAGAACGCAACCTAAGTTCGTTTCCCTTTGAATCAATCTTAAATGTCAATTTTTAAATGATAGGGATTGCATTTGGCAACATTTTACTCTATTCAGAGTTTTTCATTTAAGTTTTGCTTCACTTTAGAGCATATTCTTTAGGGCTTAAACTTTTAACTTCCAATTTCTTCTTGTTTCTTCCAATTCTTCTAGTTTCTTCAAGTTTTTTCCAGTATCTTTCAATTATTCTCATTTTCTTCAAACTCTTTCTTTCCCCAACCAATTACTCTAAAAACGATACATTTTTTCAATGTGATAATTATTATTATTACAACTATTATGTTCATAACTATAGTTTATAATTTTTTTCATCTCACTATTTTTACGATTCACATTCATTATTTTTCTTCAACTTTTTAATATGAATAAGAATTTTTTTTGTATATTAATATGAATGATAAAATAGGAAAATATCAACATTTTAAACTATATTAAAAAGTATGGATAAAATAGTTACATAGAATGTTTTACTAATCTAACTTTATATAAGACCCCTCACCTTTCCCTTTATTATTCAATTTTTCTCATTTTTATTTATTTAAAAATTTAATTTTATTTTTTGTTTTTCTAATTTTTATAAAAAAAATTGAAAGTCAAAATAATTTAGAAAAAGACTAAAATAGGAGTAAAACATAAAAAATGTACAAAAATAAAAGTTCTATATTTTTATTCCAAAAATAGGAGTTAAAATGAAAATAAAATGTCAATCATGAAAGAAAAAATAGATTTGATTACATTATGTTCTTTATTACAATTGTCATAGTATTTCCTTGTAGGCAAATTTTTCTATGTTCTTAAGATCCACGCTCATTTTATATGTCTTAGTATATAAATATCATAGATGAATTGACCTCTTTGAAAAAAATAAAAGATCTCCATGCATGTCGGGCCATACAAGCATGAGAAGGTACACATTTAGCAACAATATGGAAGCACAACTCTTCCTTTTCATTCAATATATGTTTTTTTATATAGTTCATCAAATATTTGACACACACTATAATTAGGTAGATAATGAAGAATGAAGCGAGTATGAAAATATAAATGGATAAAAAAATCAACAAAGAGTTGTACTAGTCTAGTTTTACAGTCCACAGTTGAAATGTGGACCTTCTAACATATTTTTTATGAATTCATATCTGAATCTCCTTTTTATAAGGTCATGTGTTATGGCTTGATGGGGCGTCAAGATATATGATGTGGAGTGATGAAAAATGTGTATTATGGTGAGTGTGATAAAAATTGATAAGATATGCATGTGTTAAATTTTTATTGGTTAAATTATTAAAAAAGAAAAAAAGAAATAAAGAGGGAGGGAAGGAGCAATGCCAGTGATGTGGGTGACGCGAAGAGGGGCACGCTCCCTTCACTTGAAGCCGGGCGCCGTGCAAGAGCTTGAAGAAGGCGTGAGGGAGGTAGTGATGCCATCCCTCACGCCCCATAACATACGCCCTAAGATCCACCGCATATAATAATTTTTTGGGCAATGCTAGGGGTACACCAACATGGGATACCCCAAGTGTACACCAAGCCAACACAGACACACACAGACACGAAATGTCTGTGCAATACAGACACTTTGTGTCTGTGTTGTGTCTGTGTTGGCTTGGTGTACACTTGGGGTACCCCATGTTGGTGTACCCCTAGCTTAATTCTAATTTTTTATATCAACTCGCCGGTGGACGTAGCGCAATTGGCAAAGGTAGAAAGTGCCAAGGGGTTGACCCGAGTTTAATTCCTGACAACTGCACTGAGAGGCAATTATGCGTCTATGCTAATCATAGGGCCTCTACAAGTACTAGATGCGGGCCCCACTTCCTGCCAACAATTTGTGATTAAAGTCCATTTTACTTCTTCTCAGTGACCGTCCAGTTGAATCTATGAGGCCCCTTTGGGATGAGGATCATCCACTTTTTTATCTCAAAGTCTACAAAATAAGTATGAATCTAATTATCTAAAGATTACAAATAAGTTTGCTATTAACAAAAGGTAGTACTAGTAACCATGGGTGGCTCAGAGGGTGTGTAAAGTGGCCACCCGTACACGGCCACCAAACTTTTAGGGCCCTATTAATATTCATCATTCTAATCACTTGATATCTTTAAATTAAATATAAATTTATATTTTAATATTTAAATTGTTATAAAATTTGTTATTAAAATCAAATTTAATACGGAGTACTAATTTTAAAACACAAGTACTATGAAACAAATAAAATAAATCCCAACACATAGATTTTGTATAGAACCAATTTAAATTTTTTACATTTTCAGGCTGGCGCGAGCCGCGCGACTAGTAACACGCTTTAACACTGAGTGTTTAGAAATATTAACACCGAGAATTGAGGACTTTGAAAGGAAGGTCGGTCGATAGTCTGTAGGTAGTCTTTTTATAAAGGGAAATTCCCAACTTTTTCTTTTTGAGAATAGTAAATTACTCCTACCTTTTAAAACAAAAATGCTACTATGGCAATAAGTCCTACCCCATCTCCAAAAGACGACACTTTAGGAGTGTAAATTTCGTCGCAGGCATAAGCCCCTTTTGCCAATAAGGGATCTTGTCCCAATGGAAGTATTTAAGATGTTCTTATATAAAAATTGATTGTTTTTATTCTTTTATCTTTTCGGTTTGACTTGAACCCACCTCTAATCTCTTAAATTTCATACTCTATATTTAGTTGATTTTTAGATCAAATATTTTATATTCAAAAGTCAACTAAATTTGGAGTATGAAATTAAATAAATTAAGAAATGAGTTTGGATCAAAGAGGGCTTTTGCCAATGGTTAGAACCATAGTTTTAAAAACCAGACGGCACCGGCCGGTCCGGACTGGGAATCGGTGAACCGGCCACCGAAGCGGTCCGGTCCGGGCAATCAGACCGTTTCAGCAGTGAACCGGCGGAAACAGGTTAAAACCGGTGAAACCGGGCGGTTTTACCGCCGGTTTTTTAACTCCTTTTAAAGTTTTTTAAAAAACACATCAATGGTATTTGAACCCACGATGTATTGTTCAAAGGGGCAGACACAGACCATCTCCGCAACAGAGCTTGGTGGTCACTCCCTACTTTTCATTTGTAATATTCTTAAAATAAATTTGTTATTATCAAATACCCTAAATACATATACATACTCCCTCCGTTCCCAATTTGATTACAAATTGCGGGTTACGGTGTAAAATTTTCTATTTTTTGAAATCATTTTATTTACAAATTGATATATCAATAAGATATAAAAATTACATATTAAAAAACTACGTCAAAAGTTCTACAAAACAAGAGGTGACAAAAATATTTTATTTTATCAAATATTTAATGAAATCGCGTAAATAAATACTCCGTACAAGTTATCGAGAGGAAAGAGAAAAAAAATTGTAATCTATTTAAGGACGGAGGGAGTATTTAGTTTTTTTTTAAAGGAAAATTCAAAACCCATTGATATAATTGATAGGGAGTGCATATCAAACAAATATTATATATATATATTTTAAATAATAGGTAAAATGTTTAAAAAAAATTCATATAACATTTTATTTATAAACTTTTTTCAATAAGTAAATTTTATTTTTTAGTTAATGACACAACTCAAGTAAATTAAGTTAAATTTTAAATTTAATAAAACATCAATTCTTTATTTATAAATAGAGGAAATATTATTTTTTTTACTCATATATTAATTTTTTAATTCAATGTCACAACGTATCTATCCATACACACACACACACACACACACACACACATATATATATATATATATATATATATTTCTTTATATTATTTTATTTATATATATTTATCTATTTATTAAAAATGTTTGAACCACCGGTTCAACCACTCGAACCACTGGTTCGACCAGTGAACCAGTGAACCAGTGCCTTGACCGGTTCGATCACCGGTTCGGTTCTGAAAACTATGGTTAGAACTTAGAAGGAATATGAAGTACCGATTATATAGATAAAATATTGTAAATGCTCTCATTGGACTTGTTGTGATATTATGACATTATTATTTGTTGCACAGACAACGAAAACAGTGATAACTCCAAATGATAAAGCAAAACAAATAATTTATTCTTTTTAACTTATTCGTGTTACTTATTTTTATTGAAATCAAATTAGATAATACAAGAATTTATCATAAATAACTTTAAATATAACTACAATCAGATCAAACATTAATAAAAACCAGATCAAATCAGATGAATAGAGGAAACTCGATGTACTTAGAGTCTCGAAACATAGAACTCCTATTTTAGTATATTTTCAATTTTTCTCATATTTTTATGGTCAAATTTTAATCATTTTCTTTCTCTATTTTTGTTAGTTATTTTATAAAATAATATAATCATGACACCTCTCGTTTTTTAAAACTTTTAATGTAGCTTTTAAAATATAATTTTTATTTTTTAATTTTACACTTATGATTAAATATATTAAATTGAAAATAACTTCAGTCGAATTTCGTAAACTGAATTGGACAGAAAGTTTTAATACGGAGGAAGTATTTTTAAAATATAAAGTTTAAATAAATTTTAATGAATTAAAAAAATGTGATGAAAATATAAATGAAGTTGTTAAAATTCCGGCGGGCCAAGAACAACGGATAGAGTGTCGGGTAAAATTAACTACTTGCATATAAAGTCGGGATCCACAATTCTAACCCAAAAGTTTAAGCTGATAGGTAGGGCTTCACCCTTCAATATATGCAAGTGATACTCATCTTTATTTTCTGATGTGAGAACTCCAACACTCCCCCTCAAGTGGTAACTAGCCTGGCCTAGTTAGCACATGGACAAACGTGTCTAGCATCTCAATCTCTTATAGCTAGCCCACACAACGGGCGGTGGCATCTCAATCTCTTTTTAGCCAACTCAGCCCATACCACATATGGGTAGCTCATTTTTGCTAAACCCACATCCAAACAATCAAGAACAATCAAACCCGGACCGGACCTGCTCCGATACCATGTTAAAATTTTGGCGGGCCAAGAACAACGGATAGAGTGTCGGGTAAAATTAACCACTTGCATATAAAGTCGGGATCCACAATTCTAACCCAAAAACTTAAGCTGATAGGTAGGACTTCACCCTTCAATATATGCAAGTGATACTCATCTTTATTTTCCGATGTGGGAACTCCAACAGAAGTAATGGTTAATTTTATAACGACAAATATTATAATTATTTAACATAGAAATTGAAAGATTTCATTTAAATTTAATAAAATACACTATCCATTCAGATTTAATATATTCATTTGACTTTTCTTGATCAAAATTTACAAACTTATAAATGTAATCCATTGTGTTTCGATATAGTTGTAATATCAATAGTTTTTTTTAGAATGTAGTTTTGGAATATCAAAATTTTATAAATTACATCCATGTATAAATATTACTCCGTAATAATCAAAATATTTTATAAACGAGAATGTCCAAAATAATTTTCTGTCTTTATATATGTTTCTAGTCAAAGTGTGCTACAGAAAATCAATGCGGTGCACTTGGGCTTCAAAAATGGTTAAGCTCTCATTAAAACAGGCGAATTCTTCACATCCCCTGATAGCGAAAAGCTTCATTATCGTCCTCGCAACAATGGCCGCCATGAACAGTCCCTCGACAACCTCAATCTGCGACGACCACGGCCCGGTAGTCAAACCGGACCCGTTGGTGTCGTTTCTAGAGAAGGTCCAAGAGGCCGCACTTCGGGCCTACGGGCCCAAAGGGTTCGACCCGAAGAAATACGTTGACTTGGGCCTGAAGCAACCCCTGTCCGAGACCGAAGCTCTTTTCGGCCGGCTGAACGGTTCGATCACCAGAGCCGAGCTGGAGAAGTTTGTGTCGGACCGTTTGGTCGGCCCCGAACACGACTTGGAGTACTCCGAGCCGGCTGACTTCGTGCCCGAACCGGAGGGGTTCCTGCCGGGGGTTGAGGAACCGGAGGTTCGGAAGTGGGGTTTGGAGATCCATTCGCTTTGGAAGAATCTGAGTAGGAAGGTTGGGGAGGCGGTTCGGAAGAATCCGGAGCTGCATACTTTGCTGCCTTTGGAGAACCCGGTTATCATTCCCGGTTCCCGGTTCCAGGAGGTTTATTACTGGGATTCTTACTGGGTTATCAGGTTCGTTTCCTTGCATATATAGCTTGATTACAGTCAAATTTGCACGGACTAAAACATAATGACTTTCCTAATGTAGGACTTAAACTTTTTTATTCCATAAATAGGACTTAATAATGACCTAGTGGAATGAATAATATCCAGCAATGATGCACATTTAGTTGAATAATGACTTCGTGATAATGACCAATGCAAAGACAGACACAAAAACAAAATGCATATATAGCTTGATTATATTGAAGCCATATTTTCATTTTCTTTATTACCCATCTGTCTAAAAAATTCCAATTATGTGCTCATTTAAAATGCTTGGGATAATAGCACAACTCAACCAATATATAAACGACAAAAATAAAAATGTTTTAGGAATATAATTATATAAACACCAATAATCTTAACTATATTACTCCGTGACATTCTACTATTTTCAATTTAGGGGAAGGATCTTAGAGCAATTTAGCGGGAGATGATTGTTTGAGAAAAAATGATGTGGTAAGTAGGGGGAGTGATTAAAGTGGGGAGAGGAAAGAAGAAGAGAGAAGAGTAAAGAGCCAAAAAAAGAAGAACAAAGAGAAAAGAAAAGAAAAGGTGAAAAGAAAAAAAGGAGAAGAGAAGGAAAGGGAAAGAAAATGATAAGATTTTTTTTACAAATGTTAATTTTTTTATTATTTTTTTGGGTGACATATACTACTTTCGTTCTGAAATACGGAGTAGATTTTAATTTTTTCTCTCAATTTTTGATAATTTTTACTTATTTATGTATTTTCTTTGGTTATTCCGTAATTGATAAAATAAAGTATTCTTGTCACATCTTATTTTGTAAAAATTTTAAAGTAACTTTTTAATTCTATCTCTGTCCAGTGTACTTGTCCAGTTTGACTTTTTCGAGTCAAACAAGACAAACTTTGAACTCCAATTACTTTCAATCAATATTGCATATTAGCATAATGAAATACAATTTTAAAATTTCTCAATACAATAAATTCAATAAACTCATTTTTATGTTAAAATACATTACAGTTTTTATTTAATTGAAACTCAAAGTTTTTCCAGTTTGACTCAAAAAGTCAAACTGGACAAATGTACTGGGGACGGAGGGAGTATGCAATTTTTATTTTTATTGATGTACCAATTTATAATTAAATAATTTCAAGAGGTTAGAAGTTTTGTCTCGTAACTCCCAATTTGGATTTTAAATGAACACTTCCTCACCCTTGGGCCCCATAGTTTAATTATTCTCTCTTCGTCACAAAAAAAAAATTCAGTTTAATTTGAAATAGAGTTTAAAAAAGTAAATATGTATGGTTGAAAGTAATACAGAGAAAAGTGAAAGATTGTAAGTCATTCAAAATTTTTCATAGAAGAAAAAAAGAGACTTATTTAGAAACGTTTGAAAAAAGAAATAAGAATTTTTTTAATAGACAGAGTAATTATTTTTTTTGACACATAGATGACATAAGAGTGGCAAAGACTTGGACATCATGGTGGCTCATCCAAATGAGAGGTTACACGTTTGAGTCTCTGTGGAAGTAATATATAACATATAATTGGAATAAACGAGTACTTATTAGTGTTAAAAAATGTCGTAGAGTTATTAAAATATGTAATGCATCTTGTTTTTTAAATTTTCACCAATTTTTTTATATTGATTTGAAAATAACTTCAGTCAAGCATTGTAAATCGCAACAAGAACCTTATTTTGGGATGAACCTAATGTGCTTTTGGAAAATCAAAAATAGAAAGATTAGAAAATGGAGCTGCATATACTCATGCATAATCTTATGCTATTTAATTATATGAAAGGTTTGTGGAAATATTTGGCTTGTATTTCTTGGAGAACTTTGTATAGAAAGATGAATATATATATATATATATATATATATATATATATAGGAAATTAACCCATAATAGATTGGGAACTCTACTAAAAAGGAAAGCAATTCTACAAGAAAACAAACTCTAATAATCACAATATTTATCTATGGAAGGAAATAAAATAACGGTATCAAACTAATTCTTTTTTTAACACCCCCCTCAAGTTGGAGCGTGTAACAGACAAATGCCCGACTTGGGAAGTATAGAGTCCAAATGTCCCTTGCTCAGAGCCTTTGTAAAAATATCAGCACATTGATCGTTGGTGGAGACATGAGACATGCGAATAACACTACACAATAATTCTTCTCGAACAAAATGACAGTCTATCTCGATGTGTTGAGTTCGTTCATGAGACACATGATTCGCAGCAAGATGAAGGGCAGTAGTACAGTCAAAGTGTACATGCATCGGAGTAGAGTGTAGAATACCAAGGAATCAAAGTAGACCACGAAGCCACTTGAGTTCACAAGTAAGAACCGCCATAGAGTGGTATTCGGCTTTAGTAGGCGATCTAGCCACTGTAGGTTGTTTCTTGGTCTTCCAAGAAATAGGAGAGCCACTTAACTGAACAAACCAACCTGTCAGAGAGCCACAGTAGGTGCACATTATTGATTTATCACATGACCCATCAGACCAAGCAGCAAGCACGCTACTCTCTGGCCGATCTCGTACATGGGTGGTCTTCGCTGTTTCTTCTTACGTCAAAATCCGATCAACACAATCTGTTGAAGTAAATGGTTCTTGAGTCACAACGTTGGAGTGTCCAAAGATGGCATCATCAAGGCCTTACATGAACTGGTGAACTTTTTCTTTATCGCATTGTTTCTCCAGCTATTGAGCAATATTACACGTGTGCAAGTCACATGATATTACACGTAGAAACAGGAAAAGGATCAATATAATCGAGATCATCTTAAACTTTCTTTAATTTTCCATAGTAAGTCGCGATACTCAGACCATTTTGATCTCATGCCATGAGCTCCCTTTATATTTGTTGGATTCGAGGGTCATTCACCACAAAAAATTATGCCTTAATATCATCCTACAATTTGCTGGTCATCTCCATATGTGAGATCGTAGCTCTGAGCGATGGCTCAATTGTGTTTTAGATCCATGAGACAAGCAGAGAATTATTGGTCCACCAATCTTCAAGATCACTAGAGTCCTCTGGTGGCTTTGGAGTTGAGCCATCAACAAACCCGGATTTCTTTCAAGCTTGAAAAGTCGTGCGTATGGCACGTGCCCACTATTCAAAATTTTCTCCCTTCAAAGTAACTTCAGTGATAATCAAACCTAGATTGTCGTTGGCATGAAGATCATATGGTGAGATCGTTCGTCGCTGAGGAGCATCCGATCCTTCACCAGAGTCAACTTTTTTGCCGACATTTTTTGATGTTTTATTAGCCATGCCGATCGCTGCCCTGAATCGGCTATATCACGATCAAAATTTTGTCACGTCTTAAGGTCTGATACCATGAAACGTTTGTGAAAATATTTGGCTTGTATTTCTGGGAGAACTTTGTACAGAAAGATGAATATATATAGGAACCCGCAATTGATTGGGAACTCTATCAAAAAGGAAAGCAATTCTACAAGGAAAGAAACTCTAATAATTACAATTTCTATCTAAGGAAGGCAACAAATACTACTATCAAACTAATTCTTTCCTTAACATTATACTACTAATTAATATTCTTCATAAGCTGCATGATTATGAAAAATTGTTTGCAATGCAGGGGGTTGCTAGCCAGCAAAATGTACGAAACAGCAAAAGGAATTGTTTATAATCTTTTGTCTCTCGTTGAAAAGTATGGTTTTGTTCTTAATGGTGCACGAGCTTACTATACCAACCGCAGGCAAGTCATTCGTTGACTTTAATCTTTAAATAGATTTCATTTTAATTTTCAGAGTAAATTCAATAAATAGTTGAATTTTGTACATGTACTTAGCTTCTCAATTTCAAAACATTATGTTCGTGGTCTTTAACATTCGGGTTTTAATTTATTAATTAGTCTTTTGGCCTATATATTGGAGTAGTATTTTTATTTTATTGTACGTGCAGCCAGCCTCCTCTATTGAGTTCAATGATTGTTGATATATATAACCGGACGGGTGATTTGAAATTGGCTAAAACAGCACTTCCTCTATTAGTCAAGGAGCATCACTTTTGGAATTCAGGTACTTTGTGTGTGTGTATACTCTTTCATAGAATCTCTTATAATTAAATTAATCTCCTTTTAATCTATTGTCCGGACCGATACCGAAGGAATTGTAAGGGATTTTGGATTATCTGTTTTTGAAAAAATGAGAATTCAAATTTCTAAATGTGTATTCTTTATAAAGAAAATGAGGAACACTAGTTTTTAAATTACCCATCTTTTATAGATAAAGAAGAGAGTAAAAACATAGATACAAAAAAAAATGATTCCAATTTCTTTTTACCTACCATTGTTTTGAATGTTTTTAAAAAAGACAAGGTTCTTTTGACCTTGCTTTAAAATGACTCAAGAATGAGATGGACATTTTGGGAGACCTACTGAGCTTCGTTGATAAAATTCTTGATTCCTACCCCTAAGTGTACGCTCCAAAATCCCCACCCCTACCCCCTACAGCCAATCCAGCCCCTTTCCCTGCCCAAATCGGTGATCTAGGGGGTAGGGCAGGGGGTTGAGGCAGGGTGGAGGGTTTTGGAAGCTTAAGGGGTAGAAACCATTAATTTTACCAACAGAGTACCGTTAGACTGTTGGTGGTCTAAAGTACTCGAATCATGAAACTATTAATTTTACCAACAGAGCACTGTTAAACTATTGGTGCTTTAAAATACTCGAATCATTTTCTGGTCATTTTAAGGTGACCATTGAATATGCTCAAGGGGGAATCAGTCATCACTAATTCATTAAGGTAGTGTTTGGCAACTAGCATTTCATTTCAATTGATGCATTTCAATTCCAAAATTTGAAATTCTGAATTTCAAATGACAAGGGGAGGTGCATGGATTTCAAATTAAGCTTTGTTTTGAATGTAAAGAATTTGATTCAAATCCAAATTCAAAATGTTTAAGTTTCCCAAACATGGAATTTAAGTCAAATCCGGATTTGAAATCCAAATCCATGTTCCCAAACATACCATAAACAATTTCTTTGAATAAAATTAGGGATGCATAAGGTGACTGTTGAAGATGCTCAAGGAGATTATCACAGTTTAAGCCGTTATCACGCAAGGTGGAATGAGCCTAGACCCGAATCCTCAACCATTGTAAGCCCATGATCCATTTCTTGTCCACTACTCCCTACTCCTTATTAGAACAAAAGTACTTCCTCCAATCTTAGAATTATCATCTCATTGTATAAAATTTCATTTTTCGTAAAATTATTATATTTACCAATTTGTATAGAAATAGAAAATAAAAATTTCATATTACAAAACTATATCCAAAGTTCAACTCCATCTGTCCCATAAAACATTTCATGTTTGATAAAAGGCAATGTTTAAAAATGTACTCCGTACTATTTTGATGTTATTGTTGAATTTGCCATTGCCTTAAAATGGGATAAGATATGATGTGTTGGATAGAAAATTAGAAATTAGAAAATAACATTAAAATTACACATTTTTTTTCAAACAAGATATATTTTGTGGAATGGAGGGAATATAAAACAAGATATGACATGAATATGATACTCCGTATTTACAAAATGGACAACAAAAATGTTCAAACAAACAAAGCTATTGAGAGTTCAAAATAATAATTTGATGATAAATTTGGTACGGAGAGAGTACTACACTTGGTAAAAATAGACTCGACTTTTTTTCACCCGAGCCCCCACTCGAAAATATTGGGTTTTGAACAAAATTTTTGCTTGACTGAACCTGAAATGACTTGCTAAAATGGGTCAAATCTAAAAAAATCACCAAGATAAGTTTTTTCAAAATTGTGTCCTTTAATATGGCATATAGTGTGATAAAAATATTGTTATAATACCGTAGTATTCTTTTCCTCATTCTTTTTAGTGCTGAAAACATATCTTTTTAAACAGGGTTTTAAAGATCTTGTATTGTTATCATACATTTTTTTCAACATTATACATATTTAGATTTTTTATATTATTTATAATATTGTTGCATATATTGGGACATGAATATGCAGATTATAACAATACATGAACCTTTTCACAAAAGTAAATTAATAAAAAAATTAATCAATCAAAGAAACACTTACAGGACAAGGAAACAGCTTCCAAAGTGTCAAGTGAATGTGAGAAGAAAAAATTGTACCGTGAAATTGCAACAACCGCTGAATCTGGGTGGGATTTCTCTTCCCGCTTCATGAGGTAATTAACTATTCCACATAACACACATTCAAATTACCTTTTGGATTCAATTAAATCGCCAACTCGTTTCTCATTGCAGGAATGAATCTGATCTCACAACATTGTGCACTACATCAGTTCTTCCTGTGGATCTTAATGCATTCGTTCTCAAGGTATGAGGGTTCCGTTCTCGGCATGAAAATCTTCTTTCTGCTGAGAATCAAAGAGTTTTTTGCTTCATTTACCCCCCCGAACTCTTCAAAACTTACACAGATTCCTCCTGAACTCTAAAAATTGCACTGATGGTCCTTGAACTTATAAAACCATTGCATTAATGGTCCCTTTGCCCTGGATTTGGGAGAATTTCACTGGGACATAGGGACTATTGATGCAACGTTTTTCAAAGTTAAGAGACCATTATTGGTACAATTTTTAAAATTCATGAGGGAATCCGTGTAATTTTTGAAGACTTCAGTGAAAACTGGTGCAAAAAACTCATACAATATATGTCAAGGAACCAACTCAACCAAAAGCTCAAGCTTATGGTTGTGCTCCAAGAAATATTTCTTATATTCTTACACGCCCCCTCACATGAAAGAGTAGTTCTTTTCGAGCAATGCACGTGAAACCTTATTTTTTTAAAACTGGGTGGCGCTAAGTTTCGAACCTATGACCTCTTACTCAACTTCGCTCCGATACCATGTTAAGGAACCAACTCAACCAAAAGCTCAATCTTATGGTTGTGGTGGAGGAAATGTTTCTTATATTCTAACAATATATCCTAAAAAGATTCGGGTTTTATTAGAATTTTCAAAATGTTACACCATAAACTTGGCACAATTATAATGCTATCACATATTAGAAACTATATATACACATAGTTCATATGTTTCCCTCACCTAATGAGTGTGGGGATTTGTGGCCCAGATGGAACTTGACATTGCCTTTCTAGCTAATGTTCTTGGAGACAAGAAGTTGGCTGAGAGTTTTACAAAAGCAGCAAAAGCTAGAAAAGATGCGATTGACTCAATTTTCTGGAACAAAGAGATCGGCCAGTGGCTCGATTACTGGTTGTGCAGTAGCAGTATCACACCCGAGGTGATTTACAACCATTTTTGTTAACATTTTTCACGTTTTTGTTTTGGCACATACTAAGACAAGATTCTTCTTTTTCTGAACAAACGAAATGTGTTTATTTGGTTATGATTGATCATCTGATGTGCTTATTAGGGTGTCTATAAGTGGGATTCCAAGCACCAGAATAAGAAACCATTTGCTTCAAACTTCATACCCTTGTGGGTAGAGTTGTTTCACAAAGGTAAATTTGTTTATCATACCTATCAAATATTCTTCAATGTCCATTAAATTACATTTGCATCTTACTATAAAATATTGAATGTTCACTTCTATTTTATGTTTTTCAGATCATGAGACAGTTAAGAAGACAATCAATAGCTTTAACAAATCCGGGCTTCTTCTTCCCGCAGGGATTCCAACGACGTTGTCAAAAACTGGACAACAATGGTAATTAACCATTAAAATATTAAATTTGACATCAGATTACTAATCAAAGAATTTAATTTGGGACTAACATATAGGCATTTATATACACTAAAAAATGCTTGAACTTTTAGAGTAATCAATATGTGTAATACGGAGTATAAATTAACCATGTCATAATTGTGTTCCATAGGGATTACCCCAATGGTTGGGCCCCTCTTCAACATATGATAGTGGAAGGCCTTGTGAAATCAGGATTAGGAGAGGCAAAGGAATTGGCTAATGATATTGCAAGGAGATGGTTAAGAACAAACTACGCTGTCTACAGAAAAACAGGCGCAATGTATGAAAAGTATGATGTTGAAAAATGTGGCGAATTTGGTGGTGGCGGTGAATATATATCTCAAGTAAGTCATCATAAACAAACATTTCGATACTTATTGACATTTTCTCCAAGATTCTACTTAAATATGGTTCCACTCATACTTCATACTATCTCTGTCCTGGAAAACCTTTTTTGTTCAAAGAGTGACACTCTTTAATCACAAATTAAACATTATTTGAATAATTAATCTTATAAAAATTTGATATGTCAAAATTATATCATAAGATAAACCCAACTATACTGATCAAGGATAGTCACTGTTTGACTAAAAAAAAGTCAAAACAGAAGATTTTCTAGGGCAGAGGTAGTAATTCATAATGGCCTAATAAGGGTATCCTAAGGGTTTAAAGTATGTAATTATTGAAAATATTAGTATGTTTTCACCATTGCATTTAAATACCAAGCTTCTACTTTGGTGCAGACGGGTTTCGGATGGTCGAATGGAGTTGTGTTGGCCTTCTTGGAGGAATTTGGATGGCCTAAAAACCAGAAAATGGACTGCTAAAGAATATATGTGATGAGTTAATAAGTCACCATTGAGTCATTGACATATATATACTACTTGCAAAACAATATAATATGTCCCTTCATTTCTTTTATACATACATACATACATACATACATACATACATACATATATATACATATATATATATATATATATATATATATATATATATATATATATATATATATTGGTTCAGGTGAGAATGCGATCTTATGAAAGAAATAAGAATGAATCTGGTGCTTTAGATTGTGAGATCTAAGGGTCAGGATTGCATCAAAATTAGGTGCACCAAAATGATTCGAAAATGCATCATGTCGAAATGCACCAAAATCGTTTAAAAATGCACTATCTCAAAATCTGAGTGCAGAATGCAATCTGAGCCGCACGATGCATCAGATCCAAAGGCTAGATTTTATTCTTATTTCTTTCACCAAAGTGCATTCTCACTTGAACCGCCCCCTATATATATATATATATATATATATATATATATATATATATATATATATATATATATATATAGTCCCACCTTTAGGGTCTTTTCTATACTTGGAATATGGGGGAGAGCCATAATTACATAAAATATGTGACGTGGGTTGCATCTTTGTTTGGAAAATACATTTCAGATTTTGATCCTCTAAAGATCACACTTATGGCAAAAAAGATTGTAATGTGCAAATATTGTGTCAAATTTGCCAATGTATCAGATTTTTCATGTATGATAAAAATGTACTGCAATTACTACTTATATAAGGTAAAGCTTATATGCAATTGCATTCTTTATTTGCTTTCACCCTCGTGTTAGAAACATAGAATATTCTCTCTCTAAAGATCATAAACTGATTGAATAAATCTAGGGTTTAAAGATTTTGGCTTTGGTGGGTGTTGTCATGGGGTGGATGTTTTGGGAGGGAGGATGGGGTGGCAGGTTCTAGACTTTGGGTGATATAAGTGTTGGAGATAACAGAGATAACGCGGATCAATTTTGAGAATCGTGTAGCACTTTTAGATTGATTATTTTGGTTGTTCAATCCAAAAATTATTCGGATATAAAACCCAAATTTGACAAGAACATGTATGAATTGATGTGAATTTCAAACTGCTTTCTCGACCAAAGATATGTGGAATTAATAGAGCCGCGGAAGGGAAAGAAAAGATGTGGTCGCGTGTCCCATCTAAAACACGTGTCCTCTGGCGTGAATTTTAAGAGAAACGGACACTATCTTTTTCCCGAAAATTACCTCTAAAGAAAATTCTATAATTAAAAATTCAAATGAATTTTTAACATAGCACTTTGTCAAAAATAAAAAATCCCTTTGGACCCCGCAGGGGCTGCCGCCCCTTGAACTCTGCTCGGGGGCGCTGCCCCCTTGGAACCCCCGTTTAGGGCTGTCAATGGATAGCCGAAAATTTGATTACCGTCCGCATCTGTATCCGTTTAAAGAGGAAATATCTGCATCCGTTTTAAACGGATATTATCCGTATCCGATTAAGGATATTCGATTACTAAACGGATACGGATTTGGTAATTGTATATTCGATCCGTTTAAAATCCGATCCGAATATGCATCTATTTAAATAATCGTTTATCCAAATATCCGATCCAATATATATAATTTTTCCAAATGTTTTATGTTTATATTTTGTTTCTCTATTGATATTTCAAAGTATAAAACATTTTTATACACAATTAATGTGTAGACACATAAAAATATGTGCAACATATAAAAATATGTGTATATGTGTGCTGTGTGTATTTTTTTATCATATAAAGTTATTGTAGAATATCATAAATCATGAAAACAAAGAAAATAATTATCCCATAACAAATTATTGTTGATTTAATAATAGTTTGACTTTAATCTAATTTAAAATTAAAGTATTGTTAAATCTGATTTTAAAAATTGAAAACGGATACGGATATATCCGATATCCGACTGATATCCGACAGATGCAGATACGGTTTTGATTTTCAGTATCCGTCAAGATCCGTATCCGAATTCGATATCCGACAAAAATAAACGGATACGGATTTGGTAATGACACATTCGATCTGATTAATATCCGTTTACACCCCTACCCCCGTTAAAACGGGACTTTTATTGCCTCAAAGAATTGCCCCCTTGATTCCCCGGGTTCTTGATTTATTGCCTCAAAGAATTGACCATGATAGTTTTTTGCTTGCAATGCACTTGGCTAGAGAAGCAGATGAACCTTTTTTCAGGGTTGGTTATAATAGTTTGGGTGCCTTTGCTACCATTCCAGTCTCCACTTTCAGGTAAATTTTTCATGCTGTACTCTTTCCCAAAGCAATTCTAATTTTAGGAAATTTCCCACTCATGGAGTAGCCATATGTAAAGACCAATTTCTCTGTTTGTTAAATAAAAATACTCTCTCTCTTTCGTTTTTTTGGTTCCAAAATAATGCATGTTCCCATTCTTTTTAAGGTATGAAATGGGTGGTCCACATTAATTCTCTCTCGTCTGTGTAAATCTCAACTAAACGGGAACCTTAATCTGGGATAGAGGGAGGCATCAAATGTACCTTTGTTTCATTTCTGTTACTAATTTTCAAGATAATAAAGCTTTTAACATAAGATGAATGGGGAAAATGCACCACAGCCCCCTATGGTTTCAAAAAGGAGCTCCAAGACCCCTCGTGGTTTTAAAAGTAACTTGTAATATCCCTCTGGTTTGTAAAGGGTGCACATGCACCCCATCTGATGAGAATTGGTTGTTATTCGATACGCACCCCATCAGTGTAGTGTCACCGTGTAACATTTGATTCCTAATGTTTTTTCAATCCAATCCTACATCAACGCTTATTCGGACATTATAATGTCGCTTCCCGATGAGGCCAAATGGCCTACTTCGTTTCATTAAATAATAAATCCTAGTTAATGTTTCGAATAATTAATTAAGGAAACGGAGTAGCGAACTCCGTCCCACTATTATTTTTTTAAAATCAATTTTTTTCTTAATTTCTCAACTTCGTTCCTCTATTATTTTTTTAAATCTATTTTTTTCTTTATTTCTCATAATTGAATTACAAAAAAAATATTATAAAAACTAGCAAATTAATTACATATAATGAAACAAACAATCTACTAATTGTAAAATTCATAAATAAAATAATTACTTATTGACTTTAAATAATGCACCATACACAAAATTAAAATAAGAAGTAAATCACAACAAATTTATTGATAGAGTACATATAATTTATTCATTCATAAAAATAAGGTTACAAAACACATGCTATAACTAATTTATTTTGTGAAATTCATAAAACATAAACTTAGACATAATTGAAACCCATGATATAGCTATTGTTCATTGCGACGTCGCCGTGGTCGGTAGTCCATGTTATTCGGATAACAAGTTCTTGTAGGTCGATCGGTTTGTGTCCTTGCTCGTGCAGTTGGTCTCACTATCTCTTATCCTGGAGTAGGCCATTCGGCCTCATCGGGAAGCGGCATTATGATGTCCGGGTAAGCGTTGATGTAGGATTGGATTGAAAAAATATTAGGAATCAAATGATCCACGGTGACACTACACTGATGGGGTGCGTATCGAATAACAGCCAATTCTCATCAGATGGGGTGCATGTGCACCCTTTACAAACCAGAGGTATTTTATAAATTACTTTTAAAACCACGAGAGGTGTTGGAGCTCCTTTTTGAAACCATAGGGGGTTGTGGTGCATTTTCCCCTAAGATGAATAAATATTCTTGTTTGGTTACTAGATATTCCGTCTTTGTGTTACCTTCGGATTATAGATTCCAAAAAGCTTATAAAAAAAGCTTTTTTGTAAACAGAACTTGAAAACTAGCAGCTCTAAACAGCTATCCTATAAAGCTTGAAGAACAAGCTTATTGGGACCAAAAGGCTCTTTTCACCAAAAGTTCCTAGATAAACATCCCCAATATTGGAAAATGTGTGCAAAATATGTATTGAATTTCCAAAACCACAATTACTATGGGACATTTTGTTTTGTCGCTAAAATGATCCTCCTATTTGTATTGGGACGTAGGGAGATATTTTTTTTCCCAATTGAAGTGAGTTGATCTAAATATTTTCTTTGCAGGCATTTAAATTACCCTGTGCAAGCTCTTGTCTTTGAGGGTGGGAGTACTGTTAGTGAATATCACACTTAGTGTTATATTTTTTCTTATTTGTTATGCTCGTGCTGATGTGGCTTAGCTTAATATGTTTAGTATAAATACTCTCTTCCTTTTCGTTTTGTATGAGTTAGTTCAGAATATTCCCGTAACAAACGCCTTCTGTTATTTCCGATACAATGGAGTTCTTCGTTTCTTCATCTTCTTCGTTAAGCTCTTGAAGTTTTCTGCTCAATTCTTCAATTTGAGCTTAAATCAACATGGTATCAGAGCTGGTGAAGACTCGAATCTAGATCTCTGTCTCCGGTCTCCTTGTTTCCAGGTTTATTTTTTTTCTGATTGAATCAAGGATCCTTCATGGCATCACGAAATACAGATAATTCTGGTAATTCATCCACAATCGCACCTAGCGATCCGTTATACTTGCATCCATCAGATCATCCTGGGATGAATCTAGTCTCCAAACGGTTTGATGGTGAAGGTTTTGGAACCTGGAAGAAATCCATTTCGATTGCACTATCAGCCAAGAACAAATTGGAATTCACTAAAGGAAATATTCCGAAACCTGATAATGATCCTCTTAAACTCAATGCCTGGCAGCGTTGCAATGATATGATCACTTCATGGATTTTGAATGCACTCA